CTACAGAAGGTTTATAAGATGTGTGAAACAGTTCAGCCACATTATTTATTTATTTTTTTACCAGGGAAATCATGAAATGACACACTGAATCTGATTCATGTGAAACACTTTATTTTTTAAAGGAATAAAAGACAGACATCCTTTAATCAGCTATGAAACTTGCTGGTCTAGTTTATAGTCACAAATTATTGAGACATCCAGATTTAATTAATTAATTTTATTTATCATGAAACTGCAACTTGTGTGATGTCATGGTCTGTGAATGTTGTTGTTTTTAGTCCTCATTTTTTCATATTTGAGATTTTTTCTTTTTTTTATTGCAGCTAGAGTTAGTTCTTGATATTTTGGAATCCTAATTTCTGTGTAGCGTCATTGCCTTTGGTAGAATTTGCGTGTGTGCTTGTCATTCTGACTGTAGACAGGATCGTTTTAAAAGAATTCTAGTGAATTTTGAACAAACTGTAGAGTGGGGTCATGTTAGCAATCCATTAAAACGTCCACCAGTGTCTTCATGGTCAACTGGTTGAAAGTTGAAAAAAGCCTTATTACTTAGAAACTATGATTATTACAAGTGTGGTGTGCATTGTCAACAAATAGTAGGTACCAAAAAATATTTAAACTACAGTTTTTATACTTGACCTCTGACCTCTCCTTCAAGGTCAATAGATTCATCTGAAGGCTAAAGTGGCAATAATGCTATAAAGGCCAATTAAAAACTATATTAATTAGAAATATCCTGTCTCAGAGTGATGCTGAAAAACTAGTTAATGCATTTATTACTTCTAGGCTGGACTAGTGTAATTCATTATTATTAGGATGTCCTAAAAACTCCCTGAAAAGCCTTCAGTTAATTCAAAATGCTGCAGCAAGAGTACTGACAGGCAGTGTTGGTCAAGTTACTTGAAAAAAGTAATCAGTAACTAATTACTGATTACTTCCCCCAAAAAGTAATCCCGTTACTTTACTGATTACTTATTTTCAAAAGTAATTAATTACTTAGTTACTTAGTTACTTTTTTAAAACACGATTTACAACCTGAATAGGTGATAAAGCGATAGATCTTTCAGCCCAATTCTACTTTTTCTACATAATCCATCATACAAAATGTAATCAAATGGAGAGGTCCCTTTTTAAAACTTGTTTTATCAGTTTTAATCTTTTAACTTTATGCATCAAGCAAAAATTTAATTATATGCAACATTCTCTGACTTGAATAAATTAGTTTAACATTTAAACCTATTTTTCTGCACATTCCAGCACATAAAATAAAAGATTTTTTGTGTTTACACTCACTCTTTCAAATAGATGCAAGTAAAACACAGCAGAAAATAAATAAAGTCAAAGACTCAGCGGTCCTGTTGCTCTATTTTCACCTGTAAAGCAGGACTGCGGTAGGCGGAGGTTTACCCTGGTGCAGGTGTGCCGCGGTCAGTTGAAGAATCCACGAGTTTCTCTGTGAGTTTCCCATTACGTCATTGCGCACTCGGTGCTTGCTTGGAAGTTTAGGGGGTTTTTTCGCTGTAAAAAGAAGTTTTCTTCCCACGCACGATGGACACTAATGTTTTTGTCACTTTTTATGGAATCAAACTCAAAGTAAGGTCAGTACTTCCACGCTTTAAACGCTGCACGCTCATACTCTCTCCCACAATGTGATCTATTGTTGATCTGCACACAGCTGTTGTCACTAACGACACATTCGCTTACGTCACTGTCGTGAGACATTCTCGCAAAAAATCACGGTTTTAGTAACGCAGTAACGCAGCGTTCCTACGGGAAAGTAACGGTAATCTAATTACCATTTTCGCAATTGTAATCCCTTACTTTACTCGTTACTTGAAAAAAGTAATCAGATTACAATAACACGTTACTGGTAACGCGTTACTGCCCATCTCTGCTGACAGGGACTAGAAACAGAGAGCATATTTCTGCTGTTTTGGCTTCCCTTCATTGGTTTCCTGTTAAATCCAGAATTGAATTCAAAATCCTGCTCCTCAAATACAAGGTCTTATTTAATCAGGCCCCATCTTATCTTAATGACCTTGTAGTACCATATCACCCCATTAGAGCACTTTGCTCTCGCACTGCAGGCTTACTTGTTGTTCCTAGAGTATTTAAAAGTAGAATGGGAGGGAGAGCCTTCAGTTTTCAGGCCCCTCTTCTGTGGAACCAGCTTCCCATTTGGATTCAGGAGACAGACACTATCTCTACTTTTAAGATTAGGCTTAAAACGTTACTTTTTTCTAAAGCATATAGTTAGGGCTGGACCAGGTGACCCTGAATCCTCCCTTAGTTATGCTGCAATAGACGTAGGCTGCTGGGGGGTTCCCATGATGAGTTGAGTTTTTCCTTTTCAGTCGCCTTTCTCACTCACTATGTGTTAACAGACCTCTGCATTGAATCACATTTGTTATTAATCTCTGTCTCTCTTCCACAGCATGTCTTTTATTCTGTCTTCCTTCTCTCACCCCAACCGGTTGCGGCACATGGCCACCCCACCGTAAGCCTGGCTCCCGAGGTTTCTTCCTGTTAAAAGGGAGTTTTTCCTTCCCAATGTTGCCAAAGTGCCTGCTCAAACGGGGTCATATGATTGTTGGGTTTTTCTCTGTATGTATTATTGTAGGGTATACCTTACAATATAAAGCGCCTTGAGGCAACTGTTGTTGTAATTTGGCGCTATATAAATAAAATTGAATTGAATATTTCTTCTTTTTTTTTTAAATTTATGATCAAGAACTTTTTCTAATTAATATTTTCCAGTAAAAATTTAAGCACAATTTACTAAATAATGGAATGAATGCTACACATGGACTATATCCACATTTAAAAAAAATAATGGAAAATAGTTGTACTTAAAATTATGTCAAGTATAATAAAATGGGTTTCAACAGAGCAAAGAACAAAAGCTTTTACTGCACTATAAACTTTTTAATATACATTTATAGGCAACATGATCAGTTTTTGACATCAATATGGTTCTTAAGTAAAACTTGATATCTGAGTGTTTCATAGTTTTAGACTAGTCGGTAAGTCTAATTTTTTTTCCTCGTTTAGTCGACTAAGAAATTACTGGCCTGGAACATCTCTATCTACTATTAATGGAAGTGTTTATTACAGTGTTTTCATTTTAACACCTGCAAAGCCAGGCTTCTACCTTTCTACCTATAAAACCCGAGAGCAGCCAAATACCTCGTACCATGCATTGTTAATGTTGCATGTTATAATCCAAACAGACAATAAAGAAGGAAAACAATTAAAATAAACCAAAGTTATATATGATATGAAAATATGCTACTAGAAAAGATGTTCACATATTATTAAATATGACAAATTAGAAAAACTAAACTAAAACTACAACTGACGAGTGGCACATTGTGCCATGCATTATGAATGCTGCACACTGTTCGAACCACTTCAATAAAAATTCAGTTAAAAAATTACGCATCATCTAGCCTTTTCTTCTGTTTATCTGACGTTGGGTCACAGGGGCAGCAGCCCAGACTTCCCTCTCAGCACATTCCTTCCAGCATATCCTGGGATACATCAAGGTGTACCCAGGCCAGTTGAGAGATAGCATCTTTCCATCTTCTCTTGGTCTATCCTGGGTCCTCCTCCCAGTAGGATGTGCCCGGCCGGAACACCATCCCCAGCCACTTCAGCTGGCTCCTTTCGATGTGGAAGAGCAGCGGCTCAACTCTTCCTACTCCGCCCCTTCCAAATGACTCAACTTTTCACCCAATGGGAAAGCCCATCCATCCCTCAGAGAAAGTTAATTTTCGCCACTTGTATCCACGATCTTTAAAAGAACTAATTATAATAGTGTTAACATTATATATAGATTAACAGATTTATGGTGTTTCTCAAGATAGATGGTCGATCTGGTGGCGGTTGGCTGCATAGGATTTAGGACACAACAACTTAGCGGCATTGGATATCAATTAAAATGTAAAACAATCAGATTAAGTGAACTCTGGTACCGTCTATAGTGACAATTAGTTGTCTAGTTGTATGCTCATGCACATTCAAGTAAATATTGCCTAGAGTGGGCTCCTTTAGCAGAAGACTGCCCTCTCTGAGTGCTTCTTGTAATTTATATTCTATTCTCTCTGTTTCAGTTGACTCCTATCTTCCTAGTGTCCCCTTGTATTTTTTTTCACATTGTCTAGTGGTGATCTCTGTGTTAGGTGTTTCTGTTGTGTTCATTTCTTGTTTTACTTTGATAGTCCTTTACGGCCCCTGTCTCGAAGGTTTCCACCTGTTTCTTGTTACCCAGGTGTTTCCACTCCTCTCATTAGATCTCAACGTGTTTGAATTATAAGCAGTTTTACGTGCTGTTGTTCCCTGAATGTTTATGATATGTTGTAGTTAGTTGCATTTTTAATTTCTGGACTGTCTAATCAGCCTGAATAAAGGTTTGTTAATTTTGTTGTCTTGCCTATTTGGGTCCCTTTTGCCTGGAATTTCATAACATTTGACATTTATCGATGGTGGCTCAAAACTTCTGCACAGTACTGTCTGTCTTTACTTCCAGACTCACTGGCTAAGACCAGAGTTTGCAGTCTTTGTTTGGGCTGCCATGTCAGACGCAGAATAGGGACTACATCACTAGTTCAGCTACAACCATGTAGAAAATGGCCCAATCTCTGGATACTATGGACATATGGATTTAAAGAGTGTTAGAAAGATCAAAAACTAAACTGAGCTATTCCCTAAACTTTTTTGTGTGGTGTTTGAAACCCACATGAAGCGTTTGGGATCCACTGATGTAGAGAGCATACACAATAGTCATACTGTGTAAATAAGTATATTTATTTTTCATTAATGATGTTTTTTTAGCTCTGTCCCATTAACGCAAATATGACTTGATGAGGATGAAACAAAACGGCCACTACCATTTTTGTTTTTGGCGTATATGCCATCAAACTGGTAATTAGGACTAGCAGAGATGGTGTAATGACTTCACATCTAGCTGCCACCGGGAAGAAACAAAATGGCCACACATGTTGTTAGTGGAAGGCATTTTAAGTCTTCCATAGCTGTCAAACACAGATACGCCAGGTGATGTTAGACTGTTTTGTACAGGTAGATACTTGCAGAACTCACGTACAGCGTGTCTTATGGCTGATTGTTACATTCTCGCTGTGGAGGTGAGGTGAGCCAAGCAGAACCATATTTAATGTTCCTTCCTTTGTGAGTGCAGAAATGAAGCGCCTGTGCCATTATGGTGGGTTTATTAGTATGTCGGGCGGTTAAAATGCGCCTTCGGCTTTACCCCCCTGGGTTGTTCAGGTTAAAAATATATATTTGGTACTTGATTTAAAAAAATGGCTTAACCACATCTCGCAGCGGTTATGCTCTTCCACCTGCTGGGCCGCCATTACGCCGTCATTCAACACGGTGAAAAGAGACAGGATAGGGAAACCGCGATTAAACATCCGCCATTGCTTTATGTTTAACAGTCATATTAGATTCGAACCAACTCGCTGTCGAGCTAGCTCTACCGGCCATGTAGAAGAAAGCACCTTTATCCCAAATTTAGTGTTACGTTTCAGATATTTTTTTAAACCTCTGTTACAGTTGTTAGTTATTTATTTTTAAAGAGAACACGTCGTCAAATAGGTATGTGTAACAGTTCACAACATTTCCACTGTCACTGCAGTTATAAATAAACACAATGAAAACTTAATCGTTGATGTTTGCTAGCATACTCATTTTGTCGGTCACATCGGTTTTTTCGGACAGCTCGTTGGATTTTGACCTTGAGGACGGTTATTCCTAAATTGACCTTGAGTTGTAGGAAAATTGTGCTACTTTTAAGTAGGGTTCAGTGATGTTGGCCTGAATTGTTTGGTTACACTGGCCATCGGGTATAGCTAGCGAGCCTTAATTTGACGAAGCAACAAATGAGATCGAAGAGCCGAGACCAGCATTCTTGTTTTTTTTTTAATCGTACTTTATTTTCCTGTGGGGAAGGCTAGGTCTAAGTTTAATTTTTATTTAAGTTTAACTTTAGGTGGGGATAGTTATTTTAGCGCACAGGGCGGTGTTCGCTACGTATTGCTATGGCGTCCAATTTCGAACAATTATAATCCTCCGCGCTTTGCTCGGCCTGTGCTAGGCGCTAGTGTTGACGTTAAAGTCGGAAAAGACTATCCAGACCCGTTGATAGGGTCTAGCCGGGACTGCCCCCCTGTGGCTGGCCAATGGACGACCAATAGGGCAGGTCTACATGTGGAGAGTATGCTGAAGAAAGCGCTGCGAGTCTGTGCTTACTGGGAACGGTGGAGGTAAGTTACCCACGTAATTTGTTTTATTTATACAAAAACACGCCGTTTCCGTTCTTTTCGGACCTTACCGAACAAAGAGGTTAGGGCTCTTAGTGTCTTTATTGTCTCGGTTTTTGGAAATCCAGCACTCTGGCTCCTCATAACACAAAGACCGGCTTGAACCATCCCAAGGAAACACCAGCTTGGAGGTTTTTGACTTCCTATCAGAGCTCAAATTTCCTCCGATTAGATTTTCTTAATTCCGGTTAATGTAGTCACACTCGGTTGTAATTGCATTTTCCTTACACCTGTGTGTGATTGTAACTTATTTCCTAACCATTTGCTACAATATAACAAAACAATGAGCCAGGCTTTAGGTGCAGTACGATGCATGCTTAGCCAAAATGTTAGAAAACAAATCCAGACTACTGAACCGAAAGCCGGTCAGCCTGTTAGTCACAACACGACTATATTTGCTTTCCGAGTGCATAAAGCGAAAGTAAGAGGATTGCACGTTAAAGCTCAAGTTTCTCAGACTGAAAGTTTTCTGCATTGGGTCGTTCGCGGGAAAAAAAAATGGACAACAACGCGAGACTTCTATACATTGAAGAAAATGAGGGGTGGGGGGAGCATCAGCAGCAACATGGCTCAAATGTCCAGCAGCACTCAGCTTGTACATCGTTTACCGTTTGAATGTACACACGACAAGATGAAAACAATTAAATGTAAACGTGAGGAAAGCCTCAGATTCTATCTTCCACAGACAGACAATAGGAAGATTAGTCAGCTAATCAAGTAGCTTGGTCTCACTCACTGCCCCCTCCTTCCCTGTCTGTCATCAAGGGTTAAACACCAGCTATGGCACTAACATGACATGATGAAAGTTTTCTTTTTTAAGAAGAACAAACCTGAGATCACCGCACAGACCATATGTTAGTAGTATATAAATAATTTAGCTGAAAATGATACATGATGTACAAACAAAAACAGTGTTACAAATAATATATTACAAAGTATATACTACAAAGAATCAATGATAAAGAAAATAGGCTGTTGTTCTCTCTGTAGTGCTTTGTTGCATTTTTTATAAATGCATTAAAAAGCAGTGAATTAAAACAACAAAGATGTTACTAGGTTCTGCACCTGTTTAGATATTAAATTTAGATATTAAACAAGGGGTGTGTATAACTTTCCAGGAATTTTTATTATGGTAAGATAGTTTCAGGTAAAACTAAGCTGCGGCTTGTGAGTTAACATCAGCGATGGATTTAAAGGGGCAAGCAGTAATTTCTCACGGTTATTAATTTGAAAAAGGGATTCTGTACTTATAAATATACATAGTGTGTAAATATATCTTCCAACATGCAGTCAAAACTTAATTAATCTGTTAAAAAGGCATGATGTTTTACATATGTGGCTAGAGACTGGCCACATATTTAGTATATCAAAGGCAAAGAGAAGTCGTAGCTGTTCCTATGTCATGGAGGGTTATTAACATTTTTGTTGCACCATCAGACTCAAGGTAATGGAAAGATCATACCTATGTTTTTCATTGGAGATGGGATATCCTTAGAAAGTCTCATTGTCTTCCTCCTCACCTTAAACCTCACCTTCTTAACTGAAGTCACTGCTCAACACAAAAACATGCTCATTTATTATCGATATTGTCACAACTACTTTTTATCAGGTAATCAGAATGTGTCTGTACCGTCTTTGGATAGCTGACAAATCCTGCTAAAACAAACAAACAGATGGTTATAAGCTAACATTATGGTAGTTAATGTTTCATTACATGCTCATATTGCATGAAGTTTATTTTTTAATTAGTGTTAGAGTCCCGTAATGTTAGATCCACTTCAAAAATAGTTTAACTAACACTGACTAACAGCAGCTAATGACAGCAAAAAAGCAGCAATGATTTCAGCAAATCTTCAACATCTCATGTCAGTATCACTGTCATTGGTCACTAGTGAGCTTCTGACTCACTGACCTGTGTCAGATTCCTTTCACCAAGTTTTATAGCCTCCTATTGAGTAAGAGTGGACACCTTTCACCCAACATTTTCCATACTTTAGTAGAAACAAGATGGGCATAGATACAGTCTAAAATCATTTTTAAAAAACAACAGCCACTGTAGCTAGGATTATGCACTTTAATTTGGAAGGGTAAGAAAAGAGCAATCTATTGACATCTAGCGGAGTGCTTTCGCTCCAGTGTTCCGACATCAGGCTTCGAATTTAACTAGAACCTAGCATGATCTTGGGCTCATGATGTCACCAATCCAGTCCATTATTCAACAAAGAAACTACTTATGCACCAGACAATGAAGTGTCATAGTAAAACAATATGGCATTAAAACTACTTAATGTCTGAATCGCTTTTATTTTTTTTAAGATTCACTGTGTAATTAAGTACAACTACCTGGTAGAGCATGCACGTATATTAAGTAAATGTTAAGTACTGTGTACAACTTTACGCTTTATAAATGTGTATGCAGTGTTATGTTATGAAATTATGAAATAAAAATGTAAACTGATTTACATAACTGAAAAACCAAAGTCTTCATAATCTGTTAGCATCTACCTTTGTTTTGGTTTTGCGTGAACAACATCATGGCGGCGGGCGACATCCCAGAATGCATTGCGATTTCCGATTTCCAGTAGTAGATTGAAGGATAATCACAAGATCGTCGTCCTGTGTGCTCAAGTTGTAAAACCACTATCTTGGGCTCAACACATATGCGTTGTTCGTTAATTTTAGTTGAGGTTAGGTTTCGTTCATAACACGTCTGTTCTCATGATGTGTTAAGTGGCCCTAGTTTTTGTTTTTCCCGAAAGTCTTAAGCTCATTAGCGTCAGCGGTCCGTCACAGTGGGAGTAGGTTATCACTTTTTAGCAATGATTGAAAGCACGCGCGTGTGACACGGTCACCCTCTCACCCTTGTGTGTAGATGACGTTGTTGCACGCTGGCCCCGTGTTGTGTGTTGATTGTATTGTAGGTAAGAAAACGAGTCAGTTGTATAAAATGTTACTGTGCATACCTACTGCTGTCAAAGCACAGTCTGTTTTACATGAATATTAAATATTGTGCGCCGTGTCTCTTGTTATGACCGGGTCATTCAGACTTTCGCCTTGTTGAAAGTGGAGGGTCGGACTTTGAGGGGAAAGTGAGCTCATTCAAACACGAAGCCGACATGTTCAGCTGCAGTCAGATTAAATGAAATGACTGCATCTTCGGATAGGCTTAAAATTGACTTAACAGTGTGCTCCAACAGACACGTCTCTACAATCGAGACGTCCTACCGACAAAAACATGGCGAGAAGCAAAGCATTCACGAAACATTTGTGCGCCTTCTGTCGCTGCGGCTACCCCCACTAACGGCTAACTTGCTAATTTAGCTAGCGGCTAAGTTATCCGGTAGCCCTAAAGAGGTGTAGGAAAAAGTAACTTCTACTTTTTTTTTAACGACTGATCTATAGAGGTAATAAAACTGCTTGAAACAACCAAAGATCAAGTAAACAAACAGAAATGGCAACAAGTATCTGAGCAGAGAAGAAGCAACTGTAGAAAGTTTTCTGCAGTCACATGATCATCTTTTTAAAATGTATTGTAATCCAAAAGATCCTGTTACAGCTCCCCGGAATTGAGGCAAACAGCCTCTAACAAAATAGCTTAAGTAGGATAAAGTGCAGTCTGACAACACATATATTTTAAAAATTGAAGGTAAAGTAAACACGAAGTGAAAGAATATATTTAAATAATTATAAAGTAATATAGTTATGATATAATGAAGCAAAATATCTCATAAAACAATGGAAATTTAAAATAAATATTGTACTTTTAGAATCAACAGTAAAGTCAGAAGATTAAAAGGACACATCTGTATCACATTGTGCCTATTAATATGTTGTTGTTGTTTTTAAGAAATCTTATTCTCTGGAAGGAATACTTCTGCTAAACTCTCCTGTAGCTTTAAGCTCGAGATTCTTTGAGTTCCATGTCTCTGTCTTATTACGTCTCTGGTTTTACTTATGGTATATGGTAAATGTGTATATAGAAAGAATATAAGGATTATAGCCATGAAATACTATAACAGTTTTAGTTTTGGCGCGCTAATCTTTGTGTGTTAATATTCTCTCTGGCTTTATCCAAATGTATTTTGTGTTTTTTGTTTTGTTTTTCTAGAGAGCTGCAAGATGGAGAGCACAGTGGTCAGGACCTCAGACTCCTCAACTGATAAATATTTTTATTTGAAATGGATCAACAGTCTCCTGAAGACAAACTTCAAAAATGTGGAGGAGATGGGTTCAGGTGATTCATCAGTATGAATAGTCCAATGTATTTCTATGCATCTGGCTTAGCCCACTTTAATAACATTCAACACGATATCACAGCAAAATGTAATAGATGTGCCGTTTCACCGTGTCCATTCCACACTTTGCCTTTCCAAAAAAACGTGAAATAGACGTGCATGCAGAAGTTCCATTACTGCATGCAGAAATTGCGTTACCAGCAGGTGGAGAGAAAAGCCTCGAAGTCGGTAATGAGCAAAAAATGTGTTAAGTACATTCCAATTACTGGAAACAAATAAGCTCGGCAGCTTATATGTATTTACAGTGGGGCAAAAAAGTATTTAGTCAGCCACCGATTGTGCAAGTTCCCCCACCTAAAATGATGACAGAGGTCAGTAATTTGCACCAGAGGTACACTTCAACTGTGAGAGACAGAATGTGAAAAAAAAATCCATGAATTCACATGGTAGGATTTGTAAAGAATTTATTCGTAAATTAGGGTGGAAAATAAGTATTTGGTCACCTCAAACAAGGAAAATCTCTGGCTCTCACAGACCTGTAACGTCTTCTGTAAGAAGCTTTTCTGTCCCCCACTCGTTACCTGTATGAATGGCACCTGTTTGAACTCATCATCTGTATAAAAGACACCTGTCCACAGCCTCAAACAGTCAGACTCCAAACTCCGCCATGGCCAAGACCAAAGAGCTTTCGAAGGACACCAGGAAAAGTATTGTAGACCTGCACCAGACTGGGAAGAGTGAATCTACAATAGGCAAGCAGCTTGGTGTGAAAAAATCAACTGTGGGAGCAATCATCAGAAAATGGAAGACATACAAGACCACTGATAATCTCCCTCGATCTGGGGCTCCACGCAAGATCTCATCCCGTGGGGTCAAAATGATCATGAGAACGGTGAGCAAAGATCCCAGAACCACACGGGGGGACCTGGTGAATGACCTGCAGAGAGCTGGGACCAAAGTAACAAAGGTCACCATCAGTAACACACTACAACGGCAGGGAATCAAATCCCGCAGTGCCAGACGTGTTCCGCTGCTGAAGCCAGTGCATGTCCAGGCCCGTCTGAAGTTTGCCAGAGAGCACATGGATGATACAGCAGAGGATTGGGAGAATGTCATGTGGTCAGATGAAACCAAAGTAGAACTTTTTGGTATAAACTCAACTCGTCGTGTTTGGAGGAAGAAGAATACTGAGTTGCATCCCAAGAACACCATACCTACTGTGAAGCATGGGGGTGGAAACATCATGCTATGGGGCTGTTTTTCTGCCAAGGGGACAGGACGACTGATCCGTGTTAAGGACAGAATGAATGGGGCCATGTATCGTGAGATTTTGAGCCAAAACCTCCTTCCATCAGTGAGAACTTTGAAGATGAAACGAGGCTGGGTCTTCCAACATGACAATGATCCAAAACACACCGCCCGGGCAACAAAGGAGTGGCTCCGTAAGAAGCATTTGAAAGTCCTGGAGTGGCCTAGCCAGTCTCCAGACCTCAACCCCATAGAAAATCTGTGGCGGGAGTTGAAAGTCCGTGTTGCTCGGCGACAGCCCCAAAGCATCACTGCTCTCGAGAAGATCTGCATGGAGGAATGGGCCAAAATACCAGCTACTGTGTGTGCAAACCTGGTAAAGACCTATAGTAAACGTTTGACCTCTGTTATTGCCAACAAAGGTTATGTTACAAAGTATTGAGTTGTATTTTTGTTATTGACCAAATACTTATTTTCCACCCTGATTTACGAATAAATTCTTTACAAATCCTACCATGTGGATTCATGGATTTTTTTTTTCACATTCTGTCTCTCACAGTTGAAGTGTACCTCTGGTGCAAATTACTGACCTCTGTCATCATTTTAGGTGGGGGAACTTGCACAATCGGTGGCTGACTAAATACTTTTTTGCCCCACTGTATGTGTAAGTGTGTTAATAATGGACTGGCATGACTTTTGCACATTTTGCCGCGGTACTGGGTTGCAACATTAATCTTAGACTTTAGATTAAGTCTAAGTGCAAATGAGAGACTGAACAGCTCTGTAACCCCGCCAAGCTTTTACTGGCCTTAAGTTAAACCGCTTATGTCATATTTTGAAGCAACTCCAGAGAACACAGTGTACATGTATTGGTTACTGAGATGCTGATGACAAAGTGTTGTTCATTAAATAAAAATAGCCTGTTTCTGCTAGAATAACTGGTGTGGACCATGTAGTTTTTTTTAAAAAAAAAAAACAAACAACGATTCTCCCTCTGTTAACATAACTTGTCTATGTGTGTGATCTGACAGGTGCGTGCCACTGTCAGATGATGGACTGTGTTTTTCCTGGATCTATTGACATGAGCAAGGTAAAGTTTGATGCACAAAGTGAGGACGACTGTAAGCACAATTTCAGACTACTCCATGAGGCCTTCAGCACAAATGGTATCACAAAGGTAGGTATGCATTAGTTCTCTACTAGAATAGCATTAAAGTGTCTTAGCTCATGCATTTGTTTTAATACATTTTGGTATTAATTTCTCATTGTCATTACCTATTATTGTCTTTACACTGTGTCTACAAATCAGCGAGTCATCACTACTTTCTTACCTAAATTTCTTTGCACTCTGCTTACAAATTTAAAATTTATATATGCAGAAATATTGAAGGTCTAGCTTTCCAAAAATGTCAAGATACACATTTACTAAATTCTTAGCATATTATATCTGTAACATAAAATATTTTTTAAAACTGTTAATTTATTCATGCTTGTGCCACAAACATCAATAGTTTTAATAATAATAATAATAATAATTACTAGCTATGAAAGAAATGTGCAATTCCTTGTAAGTATAACAGTGGATATATATCTTTTGAAGAAAACTTTATTCAGTAATGAGTTTTACGATATAGTGTTTATAAATGTTATTTTGTCTTCTTTGTCCTGATACAGAAAATTCCAGTTGAGAAGCTCATAAAAGGGGATTTTAACAGCAACATTAAGTTCCTCAAGTGGTTCAAGGGCTTCTACGCAGAAAATGTGAAAAGTAATGATTATGACGCTGTGAAAGCTCGTGACAGCTGTGATATCAGCCCTATTTTGGTGTCTCCTAAGTCAGGTAATTGTCATGCAAGATTTTCTTTCACTTTGGTAAAGGAATAAGTCTCTGTAATGTGTTTTGAGGACCACAGTTATAGGACATCTGCTGTGATGTTTTTGTTTTCTCTGTTTTACCAGAGAGATCTAAAGAGTCTGACACGGAGGAAAACAGCAAAACGACTAAAAGGTTTCCTTACAGCGAGAAGTGGAATGATGTTTTTGCTTGGGCTGAGCGCAGTTCTCGCGGAGACAACTATACCTACTGTTCCTCCTGTGGTACTGACCTTAGCACTATTAACAAAGGCTTTTTTGAACTTAAGCGCCATGTGGAAACAACCAAACACAGGAAAAGGGCTGCGAAGAAAAGATGTGGTGCAAGAACACAGGTCACTGAGTCGCTGCCTTGCAGTGATGAAGCTGTCCAGTTTATTTACAATCACTGTTACACTGGATCTGCTAAAGGTCAGCAGGGATATAGACATTTTGCGCGTTGTAAGCTGGGATCACAGTACCCCAAAGATATCATATCTGCCTGCGAAAACACTCCTTACTGTTTATACATTTATGGAGGGGTACCTGTAGGAAAAGGTGAAGCAGTCTCTGTGTTGCTTGTTGGGTTTTTTGATGTTGAAGCCTCTAGTCGCTGCATCAGATTTCTGGATGCTCTTCAGGCAGGGGACGGTGCAGGAGATCAGTCTGCAGCAGCAGTTGTGGGTAGCTTGAAGAAATTTGGGCTATCCACAGATAATCTCGCTGCCGTTTATCTAACTGGCAATGGTTCAGCCACAGAGGAAATCTGTTCTAAACTCAGGGAACTCAATGCAAACATCGTAACCTTAGGAGGCCTGTACACCATCGCTGATGCTGCTTGTCGTGCTGCCATCAAGGAGCTCTCCAATCAGGTTCAAGAACTGATGGTAGACCTCCATGAACACTACTCTGCTTGCTCTACAAAGAATGAAAACCTCAAAGATCTTTTTGACTCAGATGTCAGCAATGACAGCGCATCGCTTCACACCAACACCAGCTGCTTTAGAGTTTGTCTGTTGGTCACAAAAATATTGGAAATGTGGACCGATCTCACACTGTACTTTAGTTCTTGCAATGAAGATGAGAAGACTAAGTCCATCTGTTCTCAGCTTAATGATCCCAAAGTTAAGGCAATGTTTATGTTCCTGCAGCAGGCCTTAGAGCCTCTGCACAGTTTTCAAAGGAAAACACAGGAAGCTTCTGGTACTAATATTGAGCTTATTCTAGAAGAAGCCAATAGTCTGATTTCCATTTACACCTCCTACTTCCTCAGTCCACAGGCTGCTGATCGTTTCCTCATTGAACGTGACGTCCAAATTCTTAAGAACAAGAATTTCCACCTGCCAAGCTCTGAACTCTGTCTGGGTAAAAAAACTGTGGAAGACTTTCTGAAAACTTCTGAAGCTGCTGAGGCACTGCCACTATTACAGGAGGATGTATTATCATTTTATATTGCACTCACTGGTTGTATCGCAGAGGAGCTGCCTTTAAATGACTCAGTGCTGAAGGGCATCGCTCAGCTGCTGAACTCACAGAGCAGGCTGAAAGTGACAGAGGAAACAGTCGGGGAGCTGGGCACCAAGCTGGGAATCTGCAACTTCCCTGAGGAAGTCAAACAGCTCACGAATGAATTCCTTGAGTATCAGAAGGCTCAGGAGGGAGAGGCCGAGGATGGAGGGAAGGGCAGCGCAGCTGTGGTTTCACTGGAAAACATACTGAATGACACCAAGCCAGCCTCAATCTTCAGGAAGCTTCTTTTGATCCTTTTGTCTTTCCCATGTCCTCCGCTGGATGCGCAGCAGGTTTTTACTCAGGTATGTGAATGTTTAGTCGGTTAAGTTTGTTCATATAGACATTTACACACAACAAATGTTAACGAAGTTCTGCACAACAAGTAAACATTAATCAGTTGAAAAAGTATATGTGATTAAGAAAAAGTGGTGGATTGCTTCCTGTGGGTTTAGGGTAAGAGTTGGTGTCTCAAGGGATGATTTTGAATATCTCAAGATCCTGTTTACAGTGATGTGAAAGCAACTGAATGGCACACTGGTGCTGCACCCACTTTACCTGTGCACCACTGCAGTAATGCGGGTGTTGTACCTGTTGTTGTGGTGAAGGTAGAGCTGGCCTGTGATTATAAGCTCTGGGTTGTGACAGAATAAAGTAGCAAATAGAAATGGCTGAAATGAGTTTCACCTCAAACTATTTATAGGTATATTTAAAAACAGCAAACACTGACCAGAGATCAGAGTAAAAATATCACATATAGCTGGACTCTCTGGAATTAGTGGGTGTGGGATTGATAATGGTATTACTGGTGTTAAATCAAACATGGGGTGTATGGCAGTTGTTAGAGATGATATTTAATCAAGTTTGATCTTTTTGTTAGAGCTTCCTTTAACATATCAAAGGAAATCTTAATTTCCTATCAGCTCTGCTACAAATCCTTCCAGTAGCCTGAGTGACAGGATATTTACTCAAGTAGAGTAGGAAAGTAAACAGATGAACAGAAGGCAACTGAGGGAGATGCCTGTCCAAAGACAGGGCAAGATTAGTGTTCTGATACGCAATAAAAATGTCCAGCCGTAGCAGAAATAATCATGCGGGATCTACATGCAGGCAAAGAGGTTTGACAGGTTCTCTGGGTGCAGAAGTTTCAATTTTGAAAGGCATATGGTGAGAAGAGTTTAGAGCACAAATTTGAATATCACAGAGATGCAAATGAAACGATAAAACGTCAGTCCAATGTGTGGCCCCATTCACGAGTGGGGCCTCTGACAAAAAAAAAAACTGTTGAAATGGTAAAATCCCCAAGAATTAAAACAGTATCAAATCAAACTAGATTCAAAGGTTTGATTCAGAGGAGTAGAATCACTGCTCCTTTGAAACGAAAGGACTCAGCCATGCATCTGATCAGGAGGAAGCCTCCATTTGGAGGTTTCCAGACAAACTGGGAGGAGATCCCAGGGTAGAGCCAGAATTCTGAGGAGAGATTATAGCTTGTGTGGCTCAGGAATGCTTCTGGATAGCCCAGAAGGAACTGAAAAACATAGCGGTGGAAAAGATAAATTGAAGAGAAATAAATTAGTGCTGTAAGCGTTAATCTTGTTAAAATGACATTAACGCCATAACTGCAATAACACAGCAAATCTCTGTTAACGAGTTGCTGCGGATCGCCTCGTGGGTGGGGCTGGGCGGCATCAACGTGTTAGTACGATGCGTTGACAGCTGATAACATTATTTTAACTAGATTAACGCTGACAGCATTAAAATAAATAAAAGTTAAGAATTAGGAGGGAAATATCTGGGTTAAAAGGGCCTATAAACAAAACCTTTATTATGCCAGCATAACAATGTCATACTGGAATAATAAAGGTGCAAAATTTACTCGTTTCCTTTTAATTTTTTCCACTTGGTGCTGTCTTTATGTTGTTTTTAAGGCCTTGGAGAATGATCATGTTTGTGGAGTCTCTGACAGTGAAGCCTTAACAGAAAGTGAGTTGGATGTTACGTCTGACACTTTCTCTGACAGCAGCAAGAACTATCAAGTTCGCACACGAGGTAAGAGGAGCATGTTAAATGCACGAGATGATCATAATCATTTGCTTAATTTGTGGAGTTTAGCAGGAATGAAAGAGGTCTTAAAATACATCAAAACATACAGTGTGGAAAGTATGGAGAGTGCCTGCAGTGGATACTTTTCCCCCACACTTGGTTTCACTTCAGTTCTTCGTATGTTTAACTTCCCTGTTCTCTCTGGTAGACTGGTGGACATACAAAGAACAAACAAGAGTAACCCACAAACCGGTTTTACAACATATTTCTGATATGGTCTCCAGGGAGCTGGGTGGAGATGTAAAGGAAAGGAAAAAACAAGGAAAAAACAAATGAGCATTCCCCCTTATTTTGAACTCTTCTGATCTGGTATCAAAGCAGACTGGACCTTTCTAGCATTTACAAATACAGCTGGTGTCCAGACACGGTGCCTCACTAATAGTTGAAACAATCAAACAACATCAACAACACTAAAGTTTTGATGTAATTCTTTTCCAACTGCAGCTTTGAGATGATCTGATTTAAATGTAAAAGAAGTTGAGTGGGAGTGATTGCATATTTAACTCTGCGCATTCATGTTCTAGGTCAGAATGGCCTTCCTTTGAAAGTGAAACCATGTGAAGTCCGCCTTACAAAGATAGGTAAAGGGAAAAAAACTTTACAGTTCTAGCTGCCTGATGTACAACATTTTAAAATATCATGTTGTTTATTTTGTAGATTGAAAGATCATGCAGTGCACTAAAAAAAATCAATAATATAATACTGTTTCCAAAGAGCCAGGTGATGGATATGAAAATAAACTTGGAGTGAATGGTGCCTTATGGAAAGAGGTAAAAGATTTTTTTTTTCTCTCTGTTAATCCTCTGCTTTCTGATCTACTGCTCTAAAACATTTTAGACTTATGGGCAGATGATATGGCTATTCAGCCTTTGAATGGTAAATTATGTGAAGTTTAAAATGTGACATAATAGCTGAACGTTTTATTTTTGCATTTCTCTCTTAAGTCCCTGTCATGTACTAACACCCTGTTGCCCTTCATAGTTTCCAAAATGAGGAAGATGAAGTGGAGTTTGCCTATATGAGGGCGTGTATGTGCGTGTGTTTTGGTTAACATTTGCATGTGCATGTTTTTTGTGTGTAATGAGTATGCTGTCTCTCAGGGGACCATTAGGGGGAATTTTGGCTGGGAGAGCAGCTTGCGCCAGAAGCCAAAGACCCGTACAGTGTTTCAGGCTGGTGATAACACCTGGTCCAAACCCGTAGGTCTTGATAAGGACAGCAAAAATGAACTGGGGTCCCAAGATGATGTGGTAGGTGTACTCGAGTATACTACCAAAATACCACTGGGCCATAAAATGCTAGAATTTAAAAGTGAACAAAAAAAACCAAACAAACAAACAAACTTTGAGCTTCCTGATTTTAAAATTTCAAAAGTAATAAAACATCAAACATTAGTTGACAAAAATATCTACTTGAGTAAGAGCGAAATTATCTGAATATTGATAATATTGAATAAAAAATGTTCCCGCTTGAACAAGGAGTTGATCGTCTTCTAATCTGAAATGTGAGCGTCTTCCTTTTTAATGTGCTGAAGGAATGATACAAATCTGCTTCAAACTGCATCCTTAAGTTAATTTTGCTTGTTCGATTTCTGCTGGTGTCTTGTAGATGCTTAATTACCTCAGAGATCTGTGCGTTAGATACATGCGGTGTTACTATTGACAGAGCAGGGGAAGCTAAGCCGGTGGCAGTATGACTAGCACATTTGTCTCCCATTGGTCCACTGTAAAAGTTTACCTATGCTCTGCATGTCAGAACTTGCAAAAAATGCTCCTTTCCACTTTCAGCTTTCTGAGAATGGGCCTTTGACAACAGGAAACGGGACATGACCACGAAAATTACAGGAACAACAAATTCATGGTAGCTTCCATCCAGAGACAATAGCCAAAAGATGGCAATAAATTACAGGATGAATGTAAACAGAGAGTATGAGATCCTTTATGGGAAAACCACTCCCGATATTCTAGAAAATGGATCCCTTTTCTTATTAGTGCCAGCTAACTAGATGTCTTGTTATGGACCTCCTTACCTTGCTTATACTGATACACGCCCATGATTGGTCTCATGTTCCTGACTTTGTTCAAATTGCTTAATTCAAAGACATAGATAGGAATTCAGTATGCATGTTATTGTTAGGGGATTTTGGCCAGAAAAGTTGTTAGGCCTGGCTGCTTAAACTGTTCTGGTGCATAGTGGGGGCAGAAGTAGAGCTGTGTAAATGCAGCTTTTATTACTTCTGTGTGGACACGGCTGATTGTGAGATTACGGTGGGGCACTTGGAAATTCATTTCCCACCTTCAGCATGAAGATATAATTTTCTTCTTTTTTCAGCTGCTCCTTTTAGGAGTCACCACAGATCATCTGCTTCCATCTCACTTTATCCCTAGCTTCGTCTGTCATCTTGCTCTTTTCCTCCTGCCTGGCAGCTCCAGCTTCAACATCCTTTGTCCAACATATCCACTATCCCTCCTCTGCATGTGTCCAAACCATTTCAGCTGCCCTCACTAACATGATCTCTCCACTAAACATGCTTTTAGCCTCTTCTGCTTATTTTTCTTTGCCCAACAGTTGCATATTTTCAGTTAAATGTAAAACTGTATAATTTTATAACATTTTTGATAAGTTTGATTTTGTCACTCATATCTCATACATTTGATGAAATTCTTTGAAATCCTAAATTACAAAGGATTTTAAAAGTCTTACTTTTACTTTGGTAAAGTAAAGTTCACATAGACTGAGATATTTAGCAGCGTCAGAGCAGAAGAGGAAGACAAAGAAACGTTTTAAAGCACAGAAGTCAATTATGACTAACTTCAGCACAAAGGAACACCAGCAGTTCCTGATACCTGACAGTGAAACTAGATGTCAGTCAGTCAGTAGCAGCTAATTTTGGAGAGGACTCTTAATTTGAAAAAGGAAAACAAATCTGTGATTTGGAGTACTAAAAACAAAAACACAGCACTAACAAAGTTGAGGGAGAGAAATTATTGAGAGGAAAAACTGATTAGAATCTAGTCCCACATCTAACTTCATTTCATTCAGTTTCATCATTCGCTTTGTTCACCTGAGGTCAGATTAGAGAAAAGGTTAAAGGGGGAATGAGGTTGTCCAGTTATTAAACCTTCCATAATATTGAAATTCAAATTACAGTAAAAGACTCTCAATCACAATTTAATTACCGTAATCATATCAGAGTATATTATGATGCATGAAACAAAACGAATGAATGAATCTTAACACTTGCTCCGTACCTTCATTTTAACACATTGTACCACAAATGCAATTCTAGTATGATTACAGTCACAACCTTTGTTTGTTTTTTTTTAAAGAAAGACGCTGTTCATCCTCTAAAAATATACATTACCTTTTACTTCTTTGACTTCTTTTTTTACCTAAATGTGGTTGACTTCCAGTCGGAAGACTCTTCAACTCCCAATAAACACACACCAACCAGAGCACGACGTAAACCGGCCTACCAGGTAATGTTACTGCTGCTTTATTTCAAAGAAACACACAAAACCCCAACAACAGATGCATACAGAGGCATTGACAGTTGAATCATATAAAGTGTCTGTTTATAAGAAAATGTGAATAATCTGCTTTTGTTTTTGTATTTTTGCTGCAGGATGGTAAAGGGTTTCTTACAGGAGTGCTGGTGTGGGGTAAGGTTAAGGGGTTTAACTGGTGGCCTGGGATGGTGGTGCCATGGAAAACCAAGTGTGCTCCTGTGGGTATGCGGAGGGTGGAGTGGTTTGGAGACGGGATGTTCTCAGAGGTTAGAATTACAATGCACAACTGTAAGCTGAGCATTATTTGCTCATGATGCAGAAAAAATTCTCAGATTTTGTTTACATCTGATTTTTTCTTTCTGTTGCAGGTATACACTGAGGGTCTTACGCCATTTGCTGCCTTCACTAGGTGCTTCTGCAAAAACTCCTTTGCCAGCTTGCCCATATACAAGAAAGCAATCTACCAAATCCTTGAGGTAGTCTTAAATGTTTTATACTACTTTATGTTTTGTGTTGTCTTTCATTTTCCATTTATCTTCATATTATATTCATATTAGTTTGTCTAAGGAGCTTGGAAAGAAAAGCATCTGGACTTCTTTAAGTTGCTTGAAGACGTTTCACCTCTCATCCGAGAAGCTTCTTCAGTTCTAGGGTCAAATGGTGGAGAGTCCCAGATTTACGCCCTGTGGGAGTGTCCACCCAAGAGGGACAATGGACCCCCTAATGATCCTCTACCTTATCACACGAGCCAAGGTGTGAAGACGGGTGTAGGTCGCTATCGGGTGAGCTCATTGTGAAACCTTGCCCCACCCTATGATGTGATTTCCTGAGGTCAACTGGCCCAGGATGTGAGTGGGCATTAAGGCGTCTAGGAAGGGATCTCAAAACTGGATTATAGATGGCAGAGACTTGGTGTCACAAGCCAACGCCTCTGTTCAAAGACCCTTTTCTTTCCAAGCTCCTTAGACTACGATGACCCGGATGACTGAGAACCTTCAGACATATTAGTTTGTGTTGCTAAACCAAACTAATGTAGTTCTAATGGGGAATAACTTATGGTAAAAAGTTTAAAACCTCAAGAAATAGTTCACAAATCTTAATTTCATTATCCATCTCAGGCTGATATAACATTTCAGGTTTAGTTCATCAGATGCTCATGAGCTCCATGAAAGAGCAACCTGGCAACCTCCTGTTGCCATGGGTTCAACATTATTTATTCCCTAACCATTTGGTGAGTGATTGCCGGTTGTCACCTTTTGAAAGTGGAAGAGGGTGCTGCACCAAAAACAACTGTGTTTGCTTTGGTCACTAGAAGATGGCCATAGTCACCAGTCACCTGTAGTTGCATGGAAGACGCCAACTTCTCTTTAAGCACTCGTTAATTAACCACTAAGCTTGGAAAGGTGAAAGTTGTGCCTCCTGAAACCAACACGTTTCAAAAGACGCAGCTTTTACTTTGAAAGCGAAATGTCACTATTTGTGGCTTGTCTTGTACTCGTCACAGTTCTGCTTCCACTTAGGGAGTAGTTAGAGTGTGTTTGCAGACAAATCGAAATCTTCCACACATAATTATGAATCACTGCATCAACCTGCTAATGACCAAACCAATCAAAGTTGGTGTTTGGTGCCGCACTTTGTACTGACAACAGCATGCACCCCTTTGAAGCCGCTTGCCAACAGCTCATGGAGTGCAGATTTTTACGAAGTGACCACTGGGTCGCCAAACTGGTGTGACTGGACTCTTAGGAAAAGACTACATCAAGTCAAGTATAGGTATAAATGGTTATCTATTGAAGTTACTCGTTCAGTAGGTCTGTTAAAACCGTGGCTTGATTTCAAAACATTTGCTAAAAGGAACAAACTGACTGAGCAACCTTTTATTACAAAAACACTAAAGGCTTGTGTTTGTTGGACTCAGATATGTGTCCTTGTAGATGTCGCTAAAAACAGTTGTGCTGTGTAATTAATCTTGGTACAAAGTGGGGAATTATCGCTGCTGTGAGCTCATGTTAAGTGTTTGAATCATTCGATGATGCACTTTCAGATGATGTCTGTTTTCACTCTACTTACTGTATATTCAGGTCAGTGAATGTTATGAGGTTAAAAGCAGGAGGGCATATTACAATGGAAATTAAATTAAATAACAGAGTGACCGTTTCATGTATCGTAGCATCAAGCTGCTGAACCTTGTTTAATGTACTTGTACCATACTCCAGATTTTGATGACATGTATAATCTGCAGTTGGCAGGTGAGAGGTGTGGAAAGTCTTTTCCTGAGGCTCAAGGCAATGAAGAAAAAGAGCTGAAGCTGATGTTGGACTGGGCTTTTGAAGGATTTCTGCCAACAGGACCTGATGGATTTATACCTGTTGGTATGTCTGTTTATTTTTAATTCTTTCTTACTTTCTTTATAAAGCACCATATTTTATTTTCCTTCTTTCCTCTTCTTGGTGCCAAATATGTTTCTTAAAAACATCCAAGTTATTTAATGTTCTTTGTTTTCTGCCTCTTAAAGACTCTTCTCCACACGGTCAATCCTCTGACTCGACTCTGTCTGACGTCCCGCCTCCGGCGAAAAGAAAATATGTTTTAAAAAATAAGGGAAATGTCCCCGCCATCATCTATAACAAAGGTGAATGTTATTTTTTTATTTTGTGCTTGTAAAGAGATATTTGTGAGGAAACTACTAAATGAAGCAATTGATTTTGTTGCCATCATTATTTTTATTTCATGTGAATATTTCATTACAGAATCAATAATAGAAGGCGTCAAAGAAAAGGGAAAAACAATTGAAGGTAAGTTCTTTAGCTAATATGGAAGACACTTGATTTCAAACCACTGATATAAACATAACTTTCTTCTCTCTCTCTTTTTTTTTTTTTTTAGATTTTTGTTTGTCTTGTGGATCAACTGATATTGACGTCCAGCACCCATTATTTAAAGGTGGTCTTTGTCTAAGATGCAAGGTAATGTAATAACACAAAGATTCTGTTTCTCCCACAGCCTGCTGTGTCTAAATTTAGCCATTATCTGAAGGATGTCCTCTATTAAAATCTGAAAACAACCTTATTTTTACAGGCAAACTTCACAGAAACGTTGTATCGCTACGATGACGACGGCTACCAGTCGTACTGCACTATATGCTGTGCAGGCTTAGAGGTCATTCTGTGTGGCAATCCCAGCTGCTGCAGGTAAAAATTCCACAGGTTTTCTTTTTCACATGCAAACATATTGATATTTATGGTTTCTCGATGTGACTTTCGCTTAGGTAAAAACATTTCAATAAGCAAAACAAAGTTCAGCTGTTAATATCAGACTGTTACAGAAATATCTGGGAGAACCTCTTGATGATGGATTCATGAACTTGCTCATGACAAACTGACTTTTATTGGCCTGTTCCATGAGACAACTTTGAGATGACTGGATCAGGCTACAGTTTCCATAATCTTTTGAAACTTGCAAGTAGTTTAAAGTCTTCCTCCTGGCATCATTAAACCACTAAAACTTCACATTTGCTCATCAAAATTATGTTGTTCTTGTTGTTTGATCCTGCTACAGAGACACTGCCGATGTGTTTTGTGGTCTCAGAATACACAAAAGGCATTGTTCCTGCAGGGCAGGGGAGATGAAAAAGAATTTCACAGAGGCCGAAGCACACTGGATAACCCCTTGTTGCTTCTTCTTAATCAGAAAACTATAATCAGAAGAGAGGTATTTAGACATTGGGAAGCTTTTAGAATATTTGCAGTAAAGTCACTAAGTTCACCTCACCTGTAACATTGGCTTCACTAATGTTTCCTGTGGTCCACTCTGTGTACATCTGTTTACCTACTACAAACATTGCACACATTGTATTGTGCTGTCATCGTAAAAAGAGAGCTGAGCCAACAGGCAAAGCTTTTGATGTGAATCCATGTCTATTAAAACCTTCATCTATGGTCACAAGATCCAAATGACTGAAAGAGTATATGGTGGTAATGGTCAGCATCAGGGTGAGCAGCTCAGCTATTTGATGGGAGCTTGGAGCAGAACTGCTGAGGTGATTTGGGCATCTGGTTAGACTGGGTGGGTATATAGATATAGATATATATATATAAATGTTTTTTACCAGGTACCTCATAACATGGATCTGGATGTGTCTTAATCATAAAGCCGCTTTTCTCCACTGTAAGAAAAGGCACCACAAGTACACGGTAATGGCATGTGTGATATCCACCACTGATTTGTTTTCTCATATGGAGTGCATTTGGTAAAGGCTTGGAAAATATCAATGTCTGCTGGTGTGTAGGTCTAGGTGTAGGGCCACTTTTTTTCTTTTCACTTGACTGACTGGGCGTTTGTGGAAGGCACAGTTTTTGGCTTTCCTCATATTCCAAAGCGTGCTTCGTTTTAAGGTGATAAAACAAATTACTTGTATATCCTCTCTTTGCTATTACTGTCACACGGCATAATTTGCAGTTGATATTTTTCTGCTCAACATCCGGCTGCTTAAACCCAAACAAGGTGCATATGACCGACGTCGACAGACCTGTAAGCTCCATGCTTGCAGCCGCTGCCACGCTTTCGACCAAAATAGGCGCAGCTTGATGACATCATCAACACGCGCTATCGCAGTAAGATGGTATAGTCAAAATCTCTACCGTTGGCCAAATCCATATCGTTTCTACCGTATACCGTTTATACCGCCCACCCCTACTGGAGAGGTAATGTATCTCCATAATTGGACATTTGGCCTGAGAATTCTCCAGGATCTCCTAGGAGTGTTGCTGGACTGAAGGACATATAGCATATCCTGCTTAGTCTGCTGCTACTTCAGTCTAGCTTCATTGGAGGCTTGATGGATGGATATTGTTATAAACACTTTTATTTCTCCTGAATGATGGCTCTGTTATCCACACCTAAGTTGATGTGGTTGCTTCTTCAGGTTATTTACACTTGAAACTGGGCGAATCCAGATTTTTTGAGTCTGTCATTGGTGCACTATACTTCCAGGGCTGAAGTGATCAACTACGGTGTTGGCTGCTTATTTCAGTCATTTATATTTTAATTGACCACATGATACTTTACCCAGTTATTCAGCTAAAACGCCATCATGAATAGTTCACTTTAGGTCCTGCTTTCAGTTTCTGTTTATTATATCCATTTATGAGAGACGGATATCACTAGATTATTTAATAGTGGGAAAGAAATAAAAGTATCAATTTTAAAGTTTAACTTCTGTGGTCATAAGAAGTTTGATGTCATTCATTTTATGCCAAGTCACTATATCCAGGAGTATCATCATGTCAGGTTGTTTTATTTTTCTTTTGTGATGCACGATGACATCAGGATGGATTACAAAAGTAATGTTTTTGTATGACAAACTAGTTTTCATGGAAACTGAGGATATTGGACATGTCTTTGGTGGAGCTTCTATCCCCAAGCCATCCGGGCCCTAAACACACACACCCGCCCTCTCATATCATCTATAATTGACTGAGACAGGACTCTTCCAGACACTAAACCAAGGCACAATGTACATTTCAATTCCTTTAATTTTAAATATGTTTATATTGTCTATCCTGTAAAATAGTCAGATATCTATTCATATTAATGTACAGAATTCACCTGCTTGCTGCTACTACTGCACATTCACCCAGTGTATATACTATATATATATATTTTATATAATGTTCTTCCTCTACCCCCCCCCCTCGAGGAGCGTGTCAGGCTACATTTCACTGTGTGTTATACTTGTTATACTTGTATAACTATGCATGTGACAAATAAAGAACCTTGAACCTTGGTGGCACTTGTCTGCTGAATATGCCTATGCTGACTTTAAATAAAAGCGGGGGCTTTAAAAACAACTTACAACAGCTGGTCTGTTGTGTCCACTGCCTTTTAATATGGTGGATGTATATACTATTGAGTAAAACCTGTGAGTCCACCAAATGAGAGAAGATGTACGTCAAAGTGTCATTCACTAACCTCTCCCTTTATCTCATGTCCTACCCCCTCACCTCTCTTAAGGTCTTTGTATCAGTTTACAAACCCCTGAGTTTCATTTTATGATTCGTCAGCCTCTAAAAAAGTCTTCAGTCTCTCTTCTGTCTTCATCACTTGGATGAGTGGCAAAAAGTTTCTCACACTGAAAACGCTAAATCCAAATAACCAGAATCAACTTTCTGAGATTGATGTTCTTATTTTTGTCTCCCAGATGTTACTGTAAGGACTGTCTGAACATCCTGGTGGGCCCAGAAACCTTTGATAAGCTGAAAGATGTCGATCCGTGGAGCTGCTACATATGCAAGCCATCACAGTGTGAAGGAAACCTCAAACTCAGGGCAGACTGGAGTGTGAAGGTCCAAGACTTCTTTGTCAACAACAGCGCAATGGAGTTTGTACGTGCCGCTCTTATCTTTAATTAGAAATGCAGTTTTAGTTTTCATAAGCAAACGGTCTGATCTTATCCCAACATACAGAGATCTTTTTCTTCATTTGAGAGTCAGGTGATGTTAAATTAGTCAATGTAGCGTTTTTTAAATATATATTTTTATATTAACTGTAATTATAGCATGGTAACATGTGCTATAATTACAGTTAATTTAACAGCACTGAGAATTTGTTCCAGATTAGAGGATGACTCATTTGAATGAAAATGACCTCGTGGTGTGTGTGTGCCTTCATGATATGATGATATTTGGGGGGAGTGGGGGTTGTTTTTCTATTATTATTATTATTTTTAATTTTAACATCCCGTCGCATTCAATGAAATGCAAATTGTTAAAGTGTATTTTGGTTAAACTCAGGTTAAAACCTTTTAATCCTGGTTTATGTGACTGATTATGAACCAGTCATTGCAGGCTGAGTGACTGCAGGTTTGTTTTTTTTAAGATGGTAGTTAAAGGTCAGATGTGTCGACACCTTTGAGGATTTTGCTGAAGGTTAAAATTAATGTTACACATGACCCAGAAGTCCTAATCATCTTCACCTGGGGAGTTTCTTACTTCTGAGTATTTGGACATTACTGTATGCATGAAGTGGGGCTGGAAGAGGGGCAATTATTTGATGTTAGACAGTTGCCTTTGGCTGTGTGTAAGCATAGTTTATCAAATATTTAATGAAATTATTTATTAAAAGCATCTTAGTTTTATTAATAATGGACCTGCTTTCACCTTTAATTACTGGAATGAGCAGTCTGTTCTTTGAGGGTTTTTAATGATCAGCTCCAGATCCTCAGTGTCAGATAATATTCAGATTTTGTTTTTCTCTGAGGGTGAGAAATTAGTTTTTCTTAAGCTCTGCCAATCAAAGAAGATTTAAGTTAAATCTGTGTGTTTATGCCATTTCGTTTTTTCTAAATGTTACTCGAATTCATTTTTTTTAACCACAGGAGCCTCACAGAGTTTACCCTTCAATTTCTGCTGATCAGCGCAGGCCAATGAAGGTGCTCTCGCTTTTTGATGGCATTGCAACAGGTGAGTTTATGACATTGTGTGGAAAACTCAGCCAATACCCATTACACTCTGTCTGTGCATACTAATGAAGAGCCTTGGAAGGTTCAGTTGGCATCTGTATTAATGTAATAGGAGATGGTTTATTTAACATGAATTAAAAATATAGTAGGTTGTCCACCAATCAGGTCAGTGGTTTGACCTGAATGAGCCAATAACGGTGCTGCCTGGGAGGTGAAAGACTCCTTAGTAATCAGTTCGTCAAAGTCAACACAAAGGTGAAAATAATTAGCTAACGGTAGTCATCCACCATTCTGTTGGTCGTTAATATTTGTTAGTTTCAGAGTCATTGTTTTCGGGTTCTGGGCTGAGGCATTGATCTTTTGGATAGCCTCGATTACCGTACATAAATGTGACTGATACATTTATGTACGGTAGTATCAGGAGTGATCTTAGATAATCCAACTGAACAAAATGAGCAGCTCCTCAGCTATCCTCCTTTTTGGCTTAAAAACCAGCTGAAAATCTGTCAGGTAGCAGAGGAAAATGTTAAGTCCTCCAATTAGACATTCCCACAAGTATATGAATTATCTGAATACTGTAAGACTAGAAAAGTGTTGAACTGGCAAAATGTGTGCATTTCTAATTGTTCCCTTGATTTCATTTACTTTAACATCATTTCAGGATATCTGGTGCTCAAAGACCTGGGCCTTAAGATCGAGCGCTACATTGCCTCAGAGATTTGTGACGATTCAATTGCTGTAGGGATGGTCAAGCACGAGGGAAAGATTGAATACGTCAATGACGTTCGCACCATTACAAGGAAACATGTGAGTACAAGCAAGACACATGTGAATGCTCAAAATGTATTTTAACTCCTTCCTGTTTTTTAAGTTCTGTGTATATGATGGCTTAATTTATCTCAGTGAGTTTGTCTCTTTGTGTGTGTTAAAGCTGGCCGAATGGGGTCCTTTCGATCTTCTGATTGGAGGCAGTCCATGTAACGACCTGTCCATGGTGAACCCTCTTCGAAAAGGATTATTTGGTATGCAACTTCTAAACTTCTATAAATAAATAAAGACTCACTAGAGGTTTATTTGTCATCTTTTTAAATAAAAATGTTTCCCTGTTGATCCTGCAGAGGGTACTGGAAGACTCTTTTTCGAGTTCTACCGCATACTGACCTTGTTGAGGCCGAAAGAGGACGACAACCGTCCGTTTTTCTGGTTGTTTGAAAACGTGGTTTTCATGAGTGCCAATGACAAATCGGATATCTGCAGATTTCTGGAGGTAATGTTTCTTTAAGTAAAGGTAGCTACCAGCCTGGTGGAGGGTCAGACTGCATTAAGTTTTAATGCCTAATGTATGCTTTCTGCCTTCTATTGCAGTGTAATCCAATTCTTATCGATGCAATAAAAGTCAGTCCTGCTCACAGAGCACGCTACTTTTGGGGAAACCTGCCTGGCATGAACAGGTATGTACCAATACAGGCTAAAATATTTGTGTTGACTCACTGCAGATCATAGCAAGGATTTTAATGTGCAACTAGAACCTCAACAGAACCACAATAATCAAATAATTTGTATGTCTTTTTAATTTATTTATTTTTCTTCGGTTTTGATTGTTTGGTTTTGAGTGGTACTAAAAAGTCCTGAAGCTAACTGGCCTCAAGTTTACACTCTTGTCTGGGATTTCTTATAGACCTCTCGCTACATCTCTAGACGACAAGGTGACTCTGCAGGATTGTTTGGAATCCGGACGCCAGGCAAAGGTCAACATCATTTATTTTTTTATTTTATTTTTTTATTGGTCATGTTTAGTTTGGATTTAGTTTTAGGTTAATAGTGTGGCAACAATTTAAAATATTAGTTTTTGTGTAATCGTGAGACTATTATTTTGTGTTCAACACTGTTAATTTGACATTTCTCCCTGCAGTTTGACAAAGTCCGTACTATCACAACAAAGTCTAACTCAATAAGGCAGGGGAAGATGGGACCGCTGCCCGTCGACATGAATGGCAAGGAAGACTACCTGTGGTGCACTGAAATGGAACAGTAAGCATAATAAATTATTTACCGATTTGTTCCCAGTGTGACATTATCGATGTCAGTGTATAATGACTTCATTCTTGTGTGTTTAATGTGTGTCATCTGATAGTATCTGACTGAGTACATGCCTGAATGGTTTCTAAAAGCAAAACAATATAAACCACCACAAAGCGTTGATGTGCTGCACTAGTTTACACAGCTCTTCCCATTCAGCGTCACATGGGTGTAGCTGCTGCTACTAGTACACGCTAGTTACATATAATGTTTATTAAGCTACATGCACTGCAGTTGAGTTGCATGTACACATCGCTTTACAGCTGACAGCTGGTCACTTGCAGACGACGGTAGTTGCGAAATAAAGGCCGCCAACGGGAAGTGAAATGAGCACCGACTAAGTTTTCACGGTTTGGGGTTTTGGGTTTTTTTGTAATGAAGTTTTGTTTTTTTTGCTGATACTTTCTATGGTCAGGTCACCACATCACTGTAAATCACTTCTAGTTTGTACCTAACTTTAGACCAGATATGATATGCCAATTCTAATATACTCATATTAAAATCCTAAAGCATTAAACATGAAACTTGGGCTTAGTAGTTGGTCCTGAGACAAGACAGGTGAGCAATGATGTAAACTTCAAAGAAGGCAGCATCTTTGATTCTGACCCTGAGCTGCAAAGTTGTCAAATTATGCTTTTTTTAAAGTCCGTGTTTCTTTAGTCCGTTCAAAGATAAATTAATTCTGGGAGTTTGTTGATGTGACATCAGCGATTGTAAGACCAGGGAGAATTTGATTGGATGAGAGAAACCTGAAAATTACAGCCCTGTTTCACTCTGCACCTTTTTGCTGTTAACAGGAAGTGTGCACAGGTCGGCCCACATTAACTGGAAATGGATTCAGCTGTGTTTGCATAGGCCAACCTGTCATCGTGTGTGCAGTTGTTTGCATATGACGAGAATCAAACTAGGGTATCTTGTTATTGTGCAGAATGCGCAGGGAGTGTTTTCTTCTCTGTTAGTCTGTATTTGCTTTTACAGTCTCTAACAGCAGTGTGATAAAAACCAAATCAGAAAAAATTTGCACCAATCTGAGGATTTTTAACATTAAGGCTTTTCATTAACAGCGTTATGACATTTAAGAAAATACAGGCCTATGTTACTACTGTGTGCTACTACTGCACATTCACCCAATGTATGTATATATATATATATATATGTATATATATATATATGTATATATATATATGTATATATATATATGTATATATATATATATATATATATTATATATATATGTATATATATTATATATATATATATATATATATATATATATATATATATTATATATGTATATATATATATGTATATATATATATATTATATATATATATGTATATATATATGTATATGTATGTATGTATATGTATGTATATATATATAAGTATGTATATATATGTATATGTATATGTATGTATATGATATGTATGTATGTATGTATGTATATTATATGTATGTATGTATATGTATTGTATGTATGTATATTATGTGTATGTATGTATATATATATGTTGTATGTATATATGTATGTATATATATGTATATATATGTATGTATATATATATATATATGTAAAATATAACATCTTCCATGTGGTTTCCCTTTTTTAGGATTTTTGGTTTCCCCAAACACTACACTGACGTGAACAACATGGGCCGGATGCAAAGGCAGAAAGTCCTGGGTCGCTCCTGGAGTGTGCCTGTGATTCGTCACCTGTTTGCCCCCCTGAAGGATTATTTTGAATGTGAGTAGCAACTGTGAAGCAAATCCTTGCATCAGAGCTGGAGCGGTAAACCTGATGCCTTATCCTGCCCCGCCTTGCTAGTTAGTTTAAACTCTCTGGTCTCTCTTTAGAGGACCGAATGTAGCTTTGACTTTTAGAAATAGTTTGTTCATGAATTCATTTCTTTTTTGTTTTATCCTGTCAGTCATCAGTGACCCTCCACCACCAGCAGGCACAGACACTTTTTGGGTTTTTTTAAGGTTGCTGTAATCAAACAATTATGTTGCTCAGAACACAGGCCTGCATCATGAAGTGAGCTGAAGTGGTTTGCGAGCCATCTTTGGGCTTTTATGGATCAGTGGAGTCTCCTTGCTTACCTTAATCATGAATGGAAAGATCATAGCCGCTTATCAAATCCACATATTGATTTTAATTAGGTTTTTAATTAAATATGACTGCAATGTTTTTGTCTGACAGGCTACAGTCAGGGTTTTTGGTTTTTTTTACTCTGTATGATGTGAAAAGATGCACGGGAAGTGTTCCTGTTATGGTTCAGTGTCAGCGATTTCAAACTGATAACATGCAGGGTTAGTGGAAACTTCATATCCACAGTGAAGTATACAAGAGCCAATTATATTTCCCTCTGGACCCACAGCAGAGCCAAAACACACTAAATCCTGCACAATATCATTCTATAGTTTTCTATATTATAGAATAAACTCTTCATTAACACTAATGGTGCTATGTAAGTGCTGAATCATGTTTTTAAGACTTCAAAGGCATCTTTTGCTTCAGCTTTTCTTACTCTGGCCTTACCTGGCCTAAAATCAGTCACTATAGGATTAATTTGTTCTTTCGCCTGTTTTGCTTATAAAATGAGACACAAATATGTAGACCCTGAGCCCGGTCCAAGGTCCCAGAGAGCCGCTGAACTCCCTTCATGGTGCAGGCCTCCTCACTACCTCAGCAATGGTTTCAAATCTGCAGCTACAGGTGAACACAAACCATTATTGCTTTGTTTCTACGTGATCCGTATTTTATCATGTTTTTATTGTTTAATCCTCCAGGCAGGGATTTTAAGTCTGACCTAATTCTTACTGTGATGAATTTTATTGTGTTTTACTTACATTTTTTAATCTTTAAACACTTTTTTACTCAGTCTGAAGAATCCCACCATGGTGCTTCTAATAGTGGTGATTTTTACCCCACAGGTGGGCATTTGTGCTACAATTCTGTCTTTTTTAAGGAGTTTTACTTACACAAGATCAAAAATATTTTGAATCTACTTACTGACGACAAGTTGAGTATTTTAATAAGCCACACGAGTCAGACTTTGTCAGAACATGCAGTGTCTACTAAAGTGGGAAATACGGCTTTTTATTTCCAGTGGTTTCTTTTCTGGCCAGTAAAAAAAGTTAATTTCCTGTGTTTTAAAGAATAGTTTAATAGGTTCTGAAACTAACTAAAGCCCTTAACATCATTTGAAGGAACAACCTTTGACTTTATGTTCAAAATCTGTATTTTGTTAAAGGGATATCCACTGGAGTTGAAGTGGGGCTGGACTGGACTTTAATGTAATACCACATTGTACCACAGCATGGTAAACTGGGTCAGTGTAACCCTTATTTAACAACGTAGGCCATTCAAAGTTTGCTAATATTTACAGTCCTGGCCTGGTAATGTTTCTGGGTGTGTACAAAGTACACATCCAGAAACATTTCAACACACCCACTGATAAATGCTGCCCCCTCATGGTGAAAGTTTAAATTCACAGAGGGGAAGTTCTAAAAGTACTTTGAGGCATCTGGCTCCCAAACATTGTTAACAAATTGCATAATTATTAATTTTTAATTTGAAAAATAAAATAAAAACTGTTAATTCATCTGCCGCGTTCATGTGTAAGACTGTAAAATAAGACTGTCATTGTAGAAAAAAATGGGGTACAGTAGTGCAACTTTTCATGTAACTTTTAACTGTTTCATAGTTAGATTCAATATTATGTGGCAATTTTTTAAATTTCATAGTGTTTATGTATGTATTTTGTAGTCCAGCATCCATATTTTCTGATTCTTATCAAGCAGTAAACATGAAACTGCACCAGGACATAAGTTTTACAAGTTTAATCAAAACTGCAGCCTCAAACAAGGACCTGAAACGTCTGCTAATCTGCTGATCTAATTACATGGCCTAACAGCTGCAGCTATGTGCTAGATAAAAATTACATGATAATCTTTTTTTAATTCTATTGTTCAGGTTGTGTGTCAAGCAAAAAAAAAAAAAAAAAAAAATCACCAGTGATTGTTTCAGTTTCTCAAATGTGCTTTTCTATCCCTGAGGTCACAATAAATTCATAATAATTAACAATCAAATAATGACAGTTTAGAATTATTTTTATTTTCTTTTAGTTATGTTTTTTTTTTTTAAAACGCGTTCTCAGTTTCAAGGTCCTAAAATTGCTCTTTTCTCCCCTTTTTTAACCAAATATAAACTGAATAGCTTTTGTGGGAAAATTACTGGTCTGTGGTATTCATGCTCTGTAACATTTTTCTGTAATTCAAAAGCTACAGTTCATTGTTTTGAAAGTGTAATCAGTAGAATGATTAATTGTTACTTCCAGCACTAATTTTTTTGGGATTATGATGATGTTGCTGACTGAGGACGAGGGGGGGGACAACACACTCGTCATGTCATGCTGCAGAAAATCGTACTGTAATCACGTTTTTCAGTTCTCCAAACTGCTTGTTGATTAATCAGGTAAATGATGGAGAGACTAATAATAGAAATGCACTGTTTCAAAGCGACATCAGGTAACATCAGTGCTGATGCTTCACACAAACCACTGATGCAGACCTGAACATTTGGTGCTGTTTTTAAAATACTGTTCAGGTGTCAGGTTTAAGTTTGTAATGTTATGTTAGTTTTACTGAAGATTTCGATAATGGTGGCACCCTTCATCCTGAGTCACTGTGTTTGATCACATAATTATTTCGTACTGTCAACGTATTCACACAACAGAGAGGCTGAAAGTTAGATGTTGATTTTTACCTCATTTCTTTTGGGATTTCTAATGGTGCTACTGCAACGGTGCTAACTCTGCATGTTTGTTACACTTTTTTTTTTTCCTCATCTTATGCTGACATTAGTTGAACGTGAACTGTGTAGGTTTTTGTTTTGCAGTGTGCTCGGATGTTCAAGTGTCTTTGTTTTAATCAAATGAGAAACAGATGTAGAAAAATATTAGCATGATAGTTAATCATCTTTGTGAAGGGGGAAAAAACGTTGGGGCATAATGAAAAAGTGTTCATGGGATTTTACTCAGGCATTACAAAACAAAGGTGCTGTTAAAGGAAAAAGTTTCTTTTATTTTCATTTGTCTGAACTAATTTAGCCAAAAATGCCTTTCCTTGAGCCAAAATCTGTATTACTGATAACAAAATAAAGACCAACAAAACCAGGATATCCTGCTCCAGTCTTTTTTTCTTCACACAGTGAAGTAAAGGAAAGCTGCAAAAGAGAATTCATAACATTTACAATGGGCTCTTTAATAATAACAGATGCTGTTAATGTGGGTCTGAAACCAATGTCCTCAAGATGGACTTCCAAAGCCACGTCTTGAAAACTTTGCCTCACACATTTGTGTTGTTTCATGCCCAATTAAACAATAACACCACCCAATTAAAATATAACTTTAATACCAAAAGATGAATTATTCCATTCATATTTTTTCTCAAATAGTCAAAAATCCATGATAATCTGAAATGCTTGCAGTACACCAACTAATGCAAACTGAATTGCAGCAATCTTTAAATCCATCTTCTCCACTTATCCAATTAAGCACTGCTGAACAGGTCATGAGACGAGAGGTGGGGTACACACTCGAAAGGTCACCAATCCATCACAGAGACAACCAGTCATGGTCACATTAGAGTCACCAGTTAACCCAATAAGCAGGTTCTTGGACTATGAGTGAGAACCTGCACAGGCAGATCAGCTGGTTCATTCAAACCCAAAACCACCCAACCAATCCACTTTTATTATTTTTGTGTTTTTAAAAATAGGAGCAAACTAGAAAATTGTCAAGTTGTGCTGTAAGAGTATTTTACCCACAGCTGCTGCAGTTACGCGTGCGCCCAATCTTGTTTTGAAGTAATTAAAGATGTTTGCTGTACAATCATTCAACTCTGGAAAAAGGACAGTTCGAATAAATCATTAAAAGCTCCAAATGAAACTTTTAACAACAACTGTATATGAAATTTGGCTCCTCCCAGAGCCACAGACCATCATTCTGACACAGACCACAGATTTCTAGTTACTTCCATTAAATGAAAGTTTAGCTTCTCCAAAGAAAACACCAACAGACACAGATGTCATTTACTCCATCTGTTCTAGTGGTGACGGTGTAGGACAGGTAGATCTGTTTTGTATGACAAGCTGTACGTATGTTTATGTTGGACTGCTGTGGGGACATGACTGTTGCTCTGCAGTTGTAACAACAGCAGGCTGTTTGCAATGCAACCTTTCATACTTTTTATTATGAGTTTTATCTACACAGTGCTGTAAAGAGTCAGAGGTCACTCCGGGGATGGTGATGCGTTTTCCCAGGGTTTTAACATCCGCTCCATTGTAGAGGGAGTGGGATTCTGGTTGCTCGGCTCTATGTCCACTTTTGTCACTCCGGGAACCTCCTTTCCCTCCTGAACCAGTTGCATCACCTCTGCAAAGGAGAGCTGCTTTGTCTCTGTGGGTTCAGAAGTTTCTGCTGTGAGTTCAGAGTCTGAATGTGACGACGCCGTCTGGTCCAGCTGCTCAACAGGGCAGCCTCTCATACCGGAAGAAGAGCTCCACTGTTTGTAGCCGGCTCGGTCGATGGGCTCGACAAACCTGTGAGGGGACAACAGGAAAAGAGGAATAGAGGTTTGTGTTTGATATTTTGTTTCTTGGGAAGGGTGGCATTAAAAAAAAAAAAAGAAGTTTGGGCATGAAGGTAAATATCACAAAATGCTTTAACGCATTCACTGCTGATTATTGATCTTAACAAGGTACAATGGAAAAGCAGAACCTTGTATTCACTCGATTACCATCTTTAACCTTGGAAGTGTATCGCATCTGATATAAGTTTTTGAGACCTCTACGTCATTAGTGTGATTTTTTTTGTAACCCTAATCTCTTTGTATTTTAAAAAAAAAAAAGTGCTTTGGAAAATTGTAGTAAAAAATACAAACTCATTTGTGCAAATAGATTTTTTTATTTTTTTTTAATTTCTTCTAAATCCATCAAAGGGTTCAATAAACACTCAGGTTAAAATTCTAGCAAATGTTCGATGACTCTGGCTTTAGAGGGTCAAGTAGAAACATGAGGTCCTCAAAGACACTTCTCCACTAAATCATTGGAGAGTTGCATTAACAAAACTAAACATGCTGGGTAACACCAAATTAATTAGTCTGCAGTTTCTCAACCACAGATGCAAACTCTTCTCAGTTCCAGCTTCTCCAGTGCGAGGATGTCCTGCTTTTCTTTAATTTCTAATAATCCTGACATCAGAACTGCTTTGAATATTATTATTTATCTTAACCATGGAAATAATTCTGGTGATGCCGAGCTGGACAACGCATTCCTTCATTCCTTTTTAAAGAATGGCCCAGATTATTCGGTTTGACCACTTCTGCAGTTTTAGCTCTCTCTGATAGGTTTATCTCGTCTTCCAGCCTAATGATGGAGTCTCTCACTTGGAAACTGACATCTCTTTGGGACTCTTATTTAAAAATGCAGCTATAAAAATACTAATTAAACACAGTGAATCAATATCAGATATTTTGTTCGCTTCATTTGTCATGAAATAAGACGACAGGCCTCATCAGGGCGACAGACTGCTTCTTAGTCAGTTGTCCAATTACAAATTGAGCCTTGGAAAATGGGGACTTTGCATAATTCAATAACAGCTAAAACTACAAAAAACAAACAAACTTTGAATTAAAGCTGAAAGTCTGCAGTTGAGTCACATCTTGACTGACTTGTAATCCAATGTGAGGCGTACAGAGATAAAGGTAAAGTGCTGTATGTGCGCAGCTGGTTTATTCTGCCATTGATGTAAAATCCTAACAGTAACCATGAAGCTGAAGCTGGGATGGAGCGCAAAACACTTTTCATTCTGTAATGTAGTAAACCAGAAAACAACATTTTTAACGTGAATCTCAAACGCTTTTACTTTCTCGTTTTTAATCAATCTAATCAGTGCACACTGGGGTGTAGATAAACACATAAATGATTAACCGGGTGATCCAGGTGTTTCCTACCTGTTGTAGAAGAACAGTTTCAGGTCCAGCAGGTCGGTTTCGGTTCTGTTTACGGACTTCAGACCGTCCACAAACCGCTGATCCGCCTCAAAGTCAAACGAGTCAAACCGTGTAAAAACGAGCTCCATATTCACTCAGCATAACCGACTCTTCATCCTCAGCTGATCTAAAGTAACACTAAACACCTGCAGCTGCAGACCTGTCCGCCTCCGGTAACAACAAGCGTCCGCAAAGAGGGAACACATCCCGGCCAAAACAACAGGGCTATGAGCTGCAGCGCCCCTGCAGGTGAGGCTCAGTACTGCACCACAAAGTCAAAATGAGGGCGAAGGAAAGCTGGGAGAGGCGTTCCCATCATTTATTCAGGTACAAATGGTAGCAGTTACACAGTGCACATACAGAAGTGCTGTGAGATTAAAGCATTTTAACTCAACATGCAAATTTTTACCACTTTATTTGCTGTTAGGTTGTTAAATTAGGAATATGTGAACCAAATAGGAAGAAAAAAAACCCTTAATACATATCTTTCACATTTAATCTAGGTAACTAAGAATAATCTGTAGTATAATATATGTAGACTATGATAAAAATGTAAAATGTAAATGAGATTGGATGTTGGGCTGGCTGTGGCTCAAAGGTAAAGCAAGTCATCTACTACTTACTCTGCATGCCAAAGTAACCTTGGGCAATACACTTACCCTCAAATTGCTCCAGATGCATTCACTGGAGCCAGAATGTTAGCTAGAAAGCACTAAAAACTGCTGCAGGAACATAATGTGAAGTGAAGCAATGTGAATTCCCAGAGGAAATAGGCAAGTAATCAAATTAGGTAAAACAAATTGACAGGATATGAAGAATTTCTTAGACAAATCGATTGGAGTTTAGCAGGGTTGCTTTTTGCACAGCAAGAAATGCATTTAAAAACTCAAATGCAGTTATTCTACCATTTGTTTTTTGCATTCTTTAAATCTTTCGTGTGTGTTTTTGAGTATTTTGTGTCTGGTGGATTACGTCTGAACTCTTTTGGGACGTAGCCGACACTGCTGTGTATGTACTGTGGGTAACAGAGGATGAACACATGTTGTTAGCAGAAATGTGACCCCCGTGTGATTGCGCACCTCCTCCTCTGCCCTGTCCTTGACCACCACCATCATTGGCCGGCTGCCAACTGAAGGAGGAAGTGTTGCAGCTGATCTGCTCCAGGAAAGCCAGACCTGCTGCCGCTAACACACATTTTTATTTTTAAGTTATCTTTGATGAGCTCAGTTCAGTTTTTTTTAATGTGTCAATTAAAGGAAGGAACAGAGGTTGGGTCATAGTCCTGACAGGCGAGGAAATCTTATTATCATCTTAGCGGTTTTCTTTTTTGAGCATGTGACGTAACAACCAGCAGCCCTGCCCTGAAGGAGCCGGTTACTGCAGAGGCAACCAGTTTCTGAAGCTCAAATGAAACCAGGGTGAAATCAACACACGCACAAGATCACAATCAACTTGTTGTTTATTGAATATAACATAAAATTATTATCTACAAAATACAGTAAAGATATTACAAAATTAATTATAAGCAAGTGAATTAAGGGTTAAGCCCATCTGTGAAAGAAGATGAGTGACTTTAATTGCACCAAAAGCTCTATGAGTTTTCTCAAAGCTCTCCTAAACATCCCACGAAAAGCTGAATTTACATTTTTGAGCCTACAAACTAAATTTTGTCTGTGGTGTCAGTGTGAAAGCTGCCGTTTCCCATCATGTTCAGCTGCAGGTGGAGTCTGCAGCTGCTCTGACCGGAGGCGAGTACCTGTGCCTTTGGAGTTTGGTCGGGTTTGATGTTTGTTTCTGCGTGGAGCGAGACGGACGGGCGAAGCAGAAGGTGAGCGTGCTGCTGGAGCTACACTCGTAGCTCCTCTCCTGGTCAAACAGAGAGAAGAAACGTATTGACTTGGACCTGCTGGTCTTATATTCTGTCATTAATATGTTGTTATGATGGGGCGGAGGATGCTAATATCAAGCATGGTCTGTGTTTTGTATAATGAGATGAATGTATGAGCAACTGGTGGGAGCCCTGTCTGTATTTATATAATATAATTTGTATAATTTCCACTCACCTCTGCTGTGACGGTGCTCAGGCCATTTTTCACACCCTGGTTCAGGCTGCTTCCCTTCTCCTCCTTCTGGACTTTGGTGGCCTCCTCTCTCTGCTTCATGAACCTCTGGTTAACGATCCTGGTCACGCTGTCGTTCCTGTTGAGCGGGGCGGCGGGAGGCCTTGTTGGAACGCGTTCCAGGTTCCTCGTGCTACTTTTAGCTTTCTGCCCTGACCCCGGCACTGGTTTGTCTGCCCGCCCGCTCACCCTACGCAGGAACTCTGTCACCAAGCCGTACCGGTTGGCTCCGGTGGACTTGGCGGGCAGCTTGGCGTTGCTCAGGGAGCCGTGGCTCTGCCCAGCACCTGCTCGGGAGCTGGTTTGTCGAGTCCACGCGAGGCCGGACTGATTTTGATGTGCCAGGTTCCACAGAGATCGATCTCTAGAGGTAGATGCAGAGGAGGGGGAGCTCAGATTGGAGGGAGAGGGGAGAGACTGTCTTCGGTACAGTTTAGGTGAGGAGGTGGAGTGTCTGGACCTCTCCCCTCGGCCTGTTATGCCCTCCAGTGAGGCAGAGATGTGGTGAGAGCGGGCAGAGACCAGAGGGGAGTTCAGGGCCCGAGAAGGACTGCTTCTCGTGGTGCTCAACCCTTGAGTCGCATCTGTCTGCTGACCAACACTCACCATCTGTGGTTTCATATGGGTCTGAGTACCGGAGCAGGACACATCCACCCATCCCCGGCCTGCTAATCTTTCTCTCTTTTCCTGTGGGCTGTCTTGACGCTTCTGCCTCCAGCCGGCTGTCATTTCCTTCATGTCATCGCTCAGATTGGCAGATGAGCCCAGACAGAGCTGTGAGAAGGAGGTTGGCGGCGTGCACCAGGGAGAGGGCGTGTCCACGGATCCTCTGTCTGGGCTTTGCTTCAGCTGAGCCAGCTGGACTCTGCGGGCTGACGGGGGGCTGTAGTAGATGCGGACGGTAGACTTCTCTGGAGCAGTATGGCTTCTGTTCAAGGACATCTGCTCAAAGTCAAGATCAGGGAAGCTAAGCGGCATGATTAGATGGTCCCACGTCTTAACTGGGTCCTCTCGGTCAAGCTGGGCAGCCTCTTGGCTCAGATAGCACCAGTTCTTCCTCTGAGAGCTGCACGGAGGAAACTGCCGTCTGAGTCTTTTTCCTGTCGAGCTGCAGGTTCAGATTTTTTTGTAAAAAAAACACAAAGACACCAGGCGATGTATGAGTTACAACTTCAGTGAACTTATGAAAAACATATGACAGTTTGTGGAACAACACAGACCTGTCAGCTTCACGGTGTCGACCACATTGAAAAACACCCCCAACACGACGCTGAGCCAAGAGAGAAAGAAAATGTCACCAAACATTACGTCAGATACTTCAGAAACTAAAACCAAGAAAAAATGCACAAACTTGTTGTAAGCAATTTTATGTAGGGACTATTTGTCTTTAGTGTGTTCATCCGCCACTGCGTCACTGTACAGAACAAACAGAGCATCTGACACGATGATTAAAAGAGACAGAAATGTGAAATGGTGAAAGTTGCAGTGGTCCTGATCCTTCTACAAAATAGCCAATCACCACTTTGAGACAAAAGAACCAATCATGTTGTTTCACCGATGCTTGCACAGTTGTGGTTTACACAGTTTTAACCTTGTGCTGTCAGTCAGATTCTACTGTTCTATTGATGCTTGCATGGCTAACCGGATGTAAGGTGAACTTAACTTTACTTTTGTGGTTGGTGTTGATCATGTGGCCACTCTCATTATTAAAGCTATATTGTCATCTAATTGAATGTGGTGTAAGAGTGAAACTTGCAAGAAAAAAAAAGCTTTTTAAACCTTATTTTAGGGGGAAATAATATAAAATTATATAACATCTAAAGACCACTGCTCACAACAAGGGTCCTGGATATTTATGAGAAACCAGGCCATGATTTCTGCAAAGAAGTGTTGATGCTTTGTTTTGCCGCGATGTGAGCGTCAGTGCTCCAAAACTGGGCAGCTGACACAAAAAAAATCTAAGCTGTCTCTTTTGGGTGAACTGTCGCTTTAAAGCCCGTTGTCTGCAAAATCAATAATGTTTCCGTCGCTTCCCCTTATTTGCTCTTGATAATTTAACACTAACAATTACGTTAGGGTTTAATAATTAATATCACGCATCTATAGTTGTTTGGTATTTTGGCACGTCTGTGTTATTAACTAACCAAACCTTCAGAAACATTTGAATTTGCTGTTCGTTATCTGGACAAAGCATTGTAAACTCATAACAGAGATAACCCCAGAGACATATAGGCTCCAATAAGTCTTCAATAAAGCCTAATAAAGCTGCTGGAGAGCCTGTAGAGTCTTTATTTTTTTTTATCACTTCAAACTAAACGTTAAGTAAAAGAGTTAAGAGTAAAATAGGGATTACAGTCCAGTCAGTGGGTTAAGAAGGAAAAAAACTGTTGAAATAATAAATCTGATCCTAAATCATGCTGTGCATCGAAACTGCTTTTCTTTATTGAATAACAAAGGAGATGGAAATGATCATTCAGGAGAACTTGAAGGACTGCAGAGAATCGTTTGAGCGTTTTCGTGCTGCATGTTTGAAAATGCCTGTCCTGTTTGGCTGCAGCCCCCTTCAAAAGATTAGCCTAAATACTCTGGCATGAGTGTTTTCATGATGCCCGCTGAACCGACTGTCAGGCGGACACAAGGCCAGGGAGACAGATCATCGGCAGGACTTCCCGCTGTATCACGCAACCTCACACACAGCCTCACACACAGCAGGGCACACATGCCTGAGGCGTAAACACCATCCTTACCTCAGCTGGCTTGCCCGGCGTGGCCTTGGCCTTACTGTCACATTCAATCCGCTCATCCTGAAGCTCTGCAGCGAGGTCTTGCAACAATCCTTTCAGCACTGACATTGCTTTCTCTCTATCCTGAATAAAAAAGCCCAAATATATTTGAATATTCGACAGCTTTGCGTGTTTTTTTTAAGTGTCATAATGAGCATGAGCAGAGTTTATTTATGCCATCTTTCACTGTACCTGTTTTCCTTCCATGTCAGGTCCTTTGACTTGACACCACTGATGGAGGATCCAAAGAATCTGCAATGAAAGCTGCGTTCTTGGATCCCTGCACTTCTCACCGAGGCCCCATTGAACAGAAGGTGCTTTCCTCGTTTGTTTTTCTGTCTTCTTCGGCTCTCCACACTCCTGCTTACTCTCTGACTCCACGTCAGGATTTCCACAGAGGAAAGGGAAACTGTAGGAGTCCCAGACCTTCTTAACTGAGTTTAACTGTGTATCTTTGGCTGTTAGAAGCATCTCCACCCGCCCGATGAAAGCCAACAGCATCGCCTCTAAAAGTTCCAAAGCCTCATTCAGAGAAATCTTCTGTGCCTTTCCGTTACAGTCTATTGGCGAGGCGAACGTGCGCGAGGGAGACGAGCTGTGGCCATTTTTGGGTGATGTAATCAGGAGCTGTATGGCTGAACTCAAAATGCAGGCATGGTCTCTGAGAGCAAGCAGAGCTTCGTAGTCCTTCAAAGTCATCTCTTGGAGTTTTTTGTTGTCATCACTCTCTTGACTGTCTGAGGGATCCCACTCGCCTCCCACAGGACCCTCTCGAGTGATCATCCTTTCAGTCTCCTCATCGCCTTTTCTTTTCTCTGACCCTTCATCCTGACCCAGCTCGTACATCACGGGTCCCATTTTTATGCTTTTCTCCTTTCCATCTGTGTCCTTCATCGCAACACTCGCTGTCATATTTCCCTCCGAAACATCCCGATTCTCTTCATCCGGCTCTTCCCCTCCTCCTCCTCCTCCTCCTCCACCCCCAATTTTCTCCCTGAGGTCGCTCATTTCTGCTCGCAGACCACGGTTCTCCACCTCCAGTTCAACGATGCGCCGGCTCAGAAGTGTGGCCTCCTCTTCCACCAGTTTAAGATGAACTTTGACCTCCGCCTCCCTGGCGTGGGCGTAGCTTTGCTTGCCTTCAGGTGATTGGGCGGCGTCCACGTCACCGTAGGCTGAGCGGTATTTGGCCAGCTCCTCGCGCATCACCTCACTCTCTGATACCAATTTGGTGAGCTTCTTGCACATGAGAGCTAATTCCTCTTTGGCAAAGTGGAGTTGGCACTTGAGATCGGCGCTGTCATCCTTTTGGCAAATCAAACAGCAGTGACGACAGTCATGATGACATGAAATAACTCACGGATGCAGCCATGTTTAGAAACAAATATACAAACCTCAATCTGCTGAGAGAGCCTCTTCTCTGCCCTGCTGGCCGTCGATCTGATGCTTTTCTTCTTCAAAGAGCTCTAAGGAATAAAAATAAGAGTTTGATCACACACACAAGACAAACAGTGATAGTTTACTAGGTTAAGATTTTCTGGAGCGAACTTCTTTGTATTTATCCCAAAAAGTCGATTCTGTTCATTTGGACGTAGCTGTTTAGTGGGAGAAATGTTTCGTCCCTCATCCAAGTGACTTCTTCAGTCTGCAAAACTAAATGTCCTTACCTTGATGATTAAGAATGCATCGAGACGTCTTTGTGTTTATGTTTCTTTCTTTCTTTTGGTTTTAACCACAACTGTGTGAAATTTAATAAACATATTAAAGGAAAAAACTTTTTCTACATTACATTGATGATGAACATTTCCAGCTCCATATTTTTGTCCTTTGACTCCAACAGTAGCTTTGCCTGATTTATGATTCATCTAACTGTATTAAATAAGAACTTGGCTACAGAACTACAGACTAAGACCATAAACTCATCAAGAAAGTTATCCAAATAATCTTTTTTAATTTTTTTTAGATATTTCTACACAAAATTATTATTATTTTTATTAAAACCAGGGGAGTCACCTCCTGCTGGACATGAGAAAGAACGCAGGCCAACTTTCCTCTCATTGACTGACTTGAACAGCAGGTCAGTGGGGGTTGCAATAACTTCATTCAGTAACTTGAAGTAACAGTGTAACAGTGTAACGCATGTCTCTCACATGATTTTTGGCCCCCTCTTCTTTACAAAGTCGCTTCAGTTCTTTGAGGTTTGCCGGGATTCACTTTTGCTCCGTTAACGTTCAACAGCATTTCAGTCATGTTGAGGTCTGGACTCTGACTCGGCCATCGTAACCTTGATTCTTTTCTTCTTCAGTCAGTGTGTTGTAGATGTGCTTCTGTGTTTTAGCTGTCGGACAGGTGGCCTCATGTTTGAGGAGTTCGTGGTCGACGGTGCACAGATCTAGTGACTGCAGAACAAGTTCACGTCATCGCTCCTCACCACTGTGCTGACAGCTGGTATGAGGTGTTTGTGCTGATCTGCTGTGTTTGGCTGTGAATTATGACCAAACATCTCCAAACTGGTCTCATTTATCCAAAGCACATTGTTCCAGAAGTTTAAGCCATGCTGCTGTGTCATTTTTACAAAGAAGGTGATTTTTCCCAGCAACTCTCGGTACTTGTTCAGCCTTTTTTTGATTTTACTGTTACAAACTTGAACTTGACATACCAACTGAGGCCCGTAGAGTCTGTAGCTTCTAGGTTTTTTGTAGTTTCATGAGCGCTGCTCAGTCTGACCTTGGTTGTCCCAACAAATTCCCTCCAACTGCATGGCAAATTGGCAGAAATTTGCCTACAATACTTTGGCATTTTGTTAACATACCTGTAAGGTCCAGAACAGCAAACTATCAAAACCTCTGCTTTTATAGCGTGCTGATCATCAATCAATCACTTACATTTGATTAATAGCACTTGGCTCCTACTGTCCCTCTTAATTCCTATAGAACCAGTAAGGCTGTACTTAGTTTCTTGCTCTTTACATCACTGAAAACAAGGAAAAGACAAATCTGAAGTTTAATTTAAAAATATAAAGGCAGGTAAAGGAATAGTTCAACATTTGTTTCTGATGATTACATAAGAAAATTAATAACACACTAAAATTTGTTCAGTGAGAGGGTATAGCATGTTTATAGATTCTAAATTTACATGATGTTTGTGTAACATCAGTTTATGAGCTGGACACCACGGCTTCCTGGAGACTTGCTAACCACAACAAGTTCATTCTTCTGTTATTTTCTGTGTAAATTAAACAAATTAGTTATAAAATGCTAATTAATAAGCTTTAAAAATGCTTGTAGAAGGATTTACAAACCTCTGTAGGCATTAAAGTCGTGCTGGTCTTCTCGACAAGAAAGCAAATAAGCATATTTCCCAAAATGTTTAGCTAATCCTTTAAGTAAGTATTCATCATGCTCTTGCACTACTTCTCAGAGATGCCTAAAAGGCGCTAAATGTGACATTTTCTCTCCTCCGAGTTCTTCCCGTCTCTACTTGAGTCAGTTTGTAGGTCTGAGTATGTCAGGAATGTAAGCTTCTGTCAGGCAGCATTGTCTTCCTCTTAAACACTCGACAGGATTTCACTGTGTTAATAATAGTCAGGCTAGAAGCAGCAAACACAGAGAGGGAGTTACACTTTTTGAATTCAAGGCCGGTGGGCATGGAGGCTCAATAGATTTGGGTTACTGTGACCGGAAATTTGTCGTTCCTAATAAGTAAAGATGGAATTAAATGGTAATATTTCTTTAACTGTAAAATTATTGTCTTTGTTTCAGCTTTTGTCCTCTTACTACAAGTCTATGCTCAGCTTGTGCAGCTACACATTTACGTTTAACTCAAACAGCCTCAAAAACATCGGGCAGCAGAGTGAATTTCTGGCATACTCACCCTCCTTCACAATATATCCATGCTGTGTTTTTTTGCTGGTTAGATTAGGTAATCTAAGTGGATTTCCCTGTTGGGATCAAAGGGACTAGCAGCTGTCTCAGATGAGTGGAGCAGACTGAGCTCGTGCCAAAGCACCGAATCCTGGATTAAACCGCACACGTGTCACTGGAGTGCACACTGGTGCTCAAAGGAGGCAGAAGAAAAGGTGGATGGGGTGTGGAGGCTGAAGTTTGATCAAAGCGTGCTGAGTGATGGCTGTAGGTCAGTATGCCTGTGCACCAACCAACACCCTCCTTTCTTGATGCCCTAATACACACTCATCCAGATTTATCCAAGCTTAATAAGAGCAGTAAGAAAAAGAAAGTGAGTCTATTTTTGTAATCTCTCTACTTTTTTTTCTGCCCTGTCAGCCGACGATGTCAGCTGTGCCTGGAGTTCAGCATACCAGGCTGCTTCGCCCATCCCCGGCACCAGGCAGCTGCCGGCCGAGCCCTCCGCTCATATAAGTGATCTGCACCGGGATCGTGTGTCACCTGACATCAGGGTGACAGAGGGATGAGGGGGACAGCTGTCTGGATGGGTGCAGCTGTGCAGGGTAATGGAAAGGAGGATGCCTGACCCGAGCGATGAAAGTTTATGTTTCTCTCAAGGTTGACCTAAATACACACATCCCTTAAAGACACGCATTGAGGTGTATGAAGAACCCCCTTTTGCAATTATCAGCAGCTCTTGAGAGATTTTTAAGAAGTTTCTTTTTTAATTTAATCAATTCGATTCGATTTGTCATGTCTGATTGACAGATCTGTGCACTCGTTTCAATCTCATTTTCAGCTCCAGGTCATAATAATTTAGTTAACAGTCAAGTCTGTCCCAAGGTCAGTAATGAGACCATAAACAAGAGCTGTTTGTTACTATGTACGCCACCTAAGGCTTAAAATTCCCTCCACACCATCCATGAATTAAGGATCCAGTGTGAAAATTCAAAGCTTTTAAAGAGGATCTAGTTTTCCTTTCTTTTTTCTGTCATACATGCTGTTACAGTGTAACAGTATGAAACCAAGCATTTGGTTTCAAGAGGTCTCTTTTTATTTTTAGCTCTGTATGATGTCACTCAGAATGGATATCCTTAATATGGTCTCATTCTCCCAGCCCCACAAAACAACTTTCTTCTGATTGGCTGCCCCTCAAAAACAGAAGGTTAGCCAATCAGAAGAAAGTTGTTTTATAAGGGGAGGAGCAGATAGAGACAGAGTAAGAACTGAGAGGCCCAGAATAAGATAATCATCATGTTAAACTTAATCAGCGTGCCTTCTATCATCAAACTCTGCACCGTGAACCTTAAACATCCGGTTGCAGTTGCAGCAGTCTAAGATGATCTCCTTCTCCCATCCACCTCCTCTACGGCTTCCTGGGGGACACCAAGGTGTTCCCAACCCAGCCGAGAGATGTAATGTCTGCAGCCTGATCCTTCGTCTACCCTGAGGCCTTCTTTCAGTACCACCTCACCAGTGAGCCCTGGTTGGAGGTCCAAACCACCTCAACTGGCTCCTTTTGGTGCAGATCTACTCTGAGGCCTGAATGGCTGAGCTCCTCCCTCTAGATTGATACATTTATTTGTCCACGTAGGGAAACTGGATTGTAGCAGAAATCACGTGACATTTTCATGCACACAGACACTTTCACTGCACCTTAGGATGTTTTTGTCAGTCAAAAAGGGCATCCAATGTGTTGCCAATATTTAGAAATGTAATGCATTCAGGAATAAAACCCTTTAGAGCTATTTCCTGTGAACAGAGGAGGGCAATATCACCCTGCAGATATCAATAGTTTAAAAGAGGAGGTAAGTGGAAGGCTCTCGTCATGTACAATAAGGCAGACTCAGCATTTCAGTTCCCAGCAGTTTATTGGTTGTTGTTACAGCCTTTCTCCCAGAGCTTTTATCTCTTGGAAATATTTTTAAACCAACAAATTGTGTAAAGGAGTCCCGTCCCCCCCCTCCAACCCTGAGGGAAGCTCGTGGTCTGCTCATTTTCTCTGAAAGTAAAGTTCCTACTCTGACTTGCAGTGTTCTGCTGCCAAGAAAATCAACAATCCAAAAAACCCAAACAAGACAGAAGGGAAAATTCTGCTTCCAGCAGTTTTTCTGCTGTCAAACACAGACGAAAAGTCAATAAATAAATAAAAATTCAGCTTCAGTCTTTGGTTTTCCTAGAAGAGTATGTAATAAGTATGTCTTCTAACCCCGTAGAGAGTTGGTAGACAAAGTGCAGGGGGGTCTGTAAGACGCTGTAATGCTACATGGCTCTTCACCAGATGTCATTTCATGACCATGTAAGAGTGACTGGTCTAAAACCTCTGTGCCCTGAAGGTTTAGGGGACCAGGAACACTTATGAATGCTTTCCAAATATTTGGCATCATATGACTGTTAAAAGAAGATCTCAAAAGGTGAGTAAAAAGTGGTGCTAGCTGTTTCGAACACTTACACAGACATTGTCCAGGTCAGGACTTTTCCAAGGTGACAGTCTCTAAAAAAAACTCCAGTACCTTTGTCTTTTGAGGTCTCCTTCAAACATTCTTTATTAAATTTAATATTTTTTTTTACCAAAGGGTCTTTGATGTAAAATGCTCACCTCTCTGGTTTTATCCAGCTCAGTCTGTAAGACCTGCTTGGCCACTTCCAGTTCCTGAGTCTTTTCACGCAGCACCTCGTTTTCCCACTCCAAGTGGGAGTTCTTCTTCTGCACCGCCTCTAGCTCGTTGTACAGGCGGAGTGACACGCTCTTTGCGACCTGCAGGTGAAGCACAAAGTAGGTTAAGACAGTAAAAGTGCTGCGAATGAAGTTTTTTTTTTTTTTTTGATTGTCTGTTTATTTGTTTTCTCGTGAGTGTTATTTTCTGAGTGAGTGAGTCTTTAGAGCAGTTGATTTGGTTAAAGCCGAGAAACTTTTACAAGAAAATTCTTGTGACGGGAACTGAGCCATGAGTCGATGGAGGGGGCGAAGGAGGGTGAGGCTGTAAGGAATCCAATAGTGCGCACACACACACATTGGCCTGGTTGACAGTAACAGAATCTGGTTGCCTCAGTTCAACGACGGTGATTCTGCTTACGATCACTCTGCTTTTATCGTTCAGTCCTCACGCAGAACAGCCGACCACACGCAGTAATTATGCTACAGAAATATAAACAGGATGCATGATGAAAACTTTTCAGTCTAATGACATTCTTGTGGTGCAGTTGAACAGCAGGGAGTACTTTACAGCCATGACTCAGGGTTAAAGCCTGTATGAACAACACGATCAGCGTTTAGCGCGCCGTGATGAAAGTAGGTTTGTGGTTCTGCAGTAAAAGTTCACTTTGATGTTTTAGGTGAGTCAGTTTTCAGAGAAGGAGCTTAATTACAGTCTGTTGGTAGTGAGAGTTTGTGCAAAAAGACCACCCGACTTTCTGACCTTGATGTCGTGCTCCAGGCTCCGGACCAGCTCCCCGTCCACCTGTCCGGTCTGAGCCACTCGGATGCTGCGGCGCTCGGCCTTGCGGAGGCGGTACTGCAGGATGCGACACGTCTTGTTGGCCTGCTCCAGCTGCAGCCGCAGCTCCTGCAGCTGGTAAATCTCCTCCTCCTGGAACATGTCGCGCATTTCCAGCATCTCACAGCGCAGCTCCTCCACCTCATCCTGGGACAGACGACACAGAAATAATTAAACCATGAGTCAAGGCATTTTCTCCTTTCTTTCTTCCCCTTTTCCCTTCTTATTTCATCCAGTCCTTTCCTTCTTCCTTGGCCCCTTCCTCCAAATTCTTCTCTTCCCTACATCCTTCCTAACTCCCTTTGTTCCTTGTCTTTTGATTCTGCTTTCTTTCCTTACCCTTTTTTCTTTCCTTGTCCTTTTTGTGGTGCCCTTTTTTCTTCCTTCCTGCCCTTCTTCATTCCATCATTCCTTCCCTCCTTTCTTCCTTTGTTGATTTTTCCTTTCTTATCTATTCCATCCTTCCCTCTTCCATCACTTGTTCCTTCCTTCCCTCCTTTCCACTCTTTTCTTCCTTCCTTTCTTACTTTTTCCTTCCGCCCTCTTCTCTTGCTTCATCTTTCTCCCTTGAGTATTCCTTCCTTCCTTAACCCTTCCCTCATCCCATCCCTCCTACAGTACACCATGCTGAGATAAGCCAAGTTTTAGTTGTTTGGAAATCACCTCGTTAGTGGAAAAATACTATTTTATGTCTGCCAAACTGTTTCATCTTTAGCACAGATTTTTCATAGAATCAGCTAAATAATTTGGAACAAATGATGTGCTTGAGTGACAGGGTGCTAGTAACAAAGTGCCTAAATATACAGTTTAAAACAGGTTCTTTGCTATGTGGTCTGTAGACACAATACAGTTTCATCTCTTGAGTTAGGCATGTTTTTCTTGCTAGATCGATTCATAGATTTGTGTTCTGTGGGTTAACATACAAAAATTAATTAATTAATTTTAAAAAAATCCTCTGAAAATGCTCAGGTACAAGAACTGGACTACAATTGAGAGAGAAAAGCAGCCAATGTCCAAAGAAAAACGTTACATGAATGTCTGGCTACTTAGAGGCAAAATATAAATAAATGAGGCTCCAGACTTTTGCACAACACTGTGAATATCAGAAAGTTATATTTTCCCATTTTTCCCGTTAACTTAAATCCAGGTGTTATGGTGGCATTAGAGACTGAAAACAACTAAGTGAAACATGGATTCACTCTTTACTCAGCTGGGATGCTACTCTGCTACATGTGCTGCAAGCAATGCTTCGAGTGTTATAAACAATAAGATTCTATCTACTGGACAAACTACGGGTTAATGCCATGTATAAATTACTTAAAAAATATTTTTGTACACATATTCATTAAAAAAACATATTGGCTAATATTAGCCTAACTAACTGATTTATGACTTAAGCTCTAATTGTTATATTTTCCAGTTTGATGCCTAAATGGCCATTTTGTGCTTTGTACGTACCCTTCAAAGTGTCTGATTACTTTAATGACCACAGTTTGAATCTGCACTTACAAGGTGAAGTTATGTCACAGAAGTGAGCATCTAGGGCAGAAAGAGGGATTTGGGGCTATTTTTTGTACATGTTGTTTCCAGCATATTCTAAGTCATGAAACGTTTTCTCAGAAAGCTTGACTCACACTCAGAAAGTCTGAATATCTGGACATCAGCAGCTTCGATTATGACCTTTCTTTATCAAGGTACAGCTCTGAATAAGTGGATCATCCCTTGTGAAGGTGAAAGTGGAAAACGGACATTGCCATTGGGCTTGTAGATGGACTTGCTCAGCAGTACTCCACTAACAAAACTCTGCAACCACCAATTTATAATCAAACCCCAGTTTCCAGATATATTCCTGCAAACTGGTGATCTGCTGCATCAAGTTACAGAGTAATTTCCTCAGTTGGACCAATAAAATGCCCTTGCAGTCAGGAGTTACTCATCTAATCACCAGCTCAGTCAGCAGTTACTCAGCTACTGTAAAAATCTGAGTAAGTGTGGGTTTGTTCCATAATTTATTTAGGTCAGTAGTGACTTTTGACTCTTGTATTAGAGCCACTTGCTCTGCGCTCACTAAAGAAGACTGGCCCGATCTAAACATTTGCAGAAAATCGGCTCTGGTGTTGAGCTGAGGGTCCTCCCACAGAAACTCACTGGCTCTCATAAACAAGCAAAACCTACATGCACGGAGTTTATACAGAAAGGTAGATGCTGCATTTCGTGAAAACCAAATTGAATTCGCTAATTGCATTAAGCTAATTTAATTAATCAAATTAGATCAAACTTACTTTCAAATACTCGTTCTCTGATCTCAGATCTTCCAATTCCCTGACCAGGTCTTCGGTTGTTTCCCCCATCATAAGATTCATAAACGCCCCCGAGGAGTTGAACAAACTAAAGCCCCCTGCGGCAGCCTCCGCCTGGAGAACGCAGATATCTCTCGCCGCTTTTGCGCACGGTTTGCCGTCGCCTGCGCCCTCGCTATCCGGGGTCACGTAAGCTTTGCCGTCTATCCAGCTTAAGTCAGAGTCGTGCTTGTTACCGTCCGACGGGCAGTCAGAGATTTCCGAGCTGCTGTCCGAGGAGGACAGTTTCCCCGACAGGCAGCCGGAGTCTTTGCTCAAATCCTCTGAAGCGTTGCTGGCGTCGGAGAGTTTCCTCTGTGCGTCGGGGCTCCTCTGGCACTCGGAGCTGACACCTGATGACACTTTCCCTGCTCTCTTTTCCTGCGGTCCCGCAGTTTTTACCTCCTTCACAGGGTCGCACTGACCCGTGAATTGTGCCTCCTTTGCATAGGAGCCATCATTGGAGGATGGATCTTTCTTCTCCTGGTGCGCCCTGGCTTGTTTCTGGCTGCGGAGTGCAGTCTTCAGGCTTTTATCGCCGTCTTTGTTCGTCATTTTCTCTTTAGCTTTTAAACAGAAAATCTAAGATGATCATTACAGTTTTAAACTAGTGTTAAAATATCAAAATTCACAGCTCACAGACTCTGAACACCCGACTAGCTGCTCTGCATCCTCAGCACTGAAACTTTGCCAAAGCGCACTCACAGAAGTCACAGTGTCACGTTCCCGCAGCTTAGAAGGGACTTCCGGTCGTTTTCTCTGCTTTTTCTTTTTTTCTCCATTTATCTTGGTCAGAGTACATATTATGTTTATTCTACACACACTCTCCCAGAACATTCAACTGTGGCTACAAACCAGCATGAATTTGAAAACAAATCCGATATTAAAAATGTTGTGTAGGCCTAGGATTATAAATGATTAACTTTATTTTGTAAATTTCCATACAAAAGATACAATTTTAAGTGTTTGTTACCTCGTGTTTTCATATTGCTATCATACTGTTATCATCCCATACGCCTGATGTAGAGAGGCAGTTTGGAGGCTTTTATTTTGACGGTTTTCCGGTCTCTCTTTGATTCTTAAGCAGTTTTTTCCACTTTCTCCTTCTGGAAATCTGACAAGCAATTAACCCAACTAACCGACTACTACTATGAATAAATTATCTTAATTCCTAGTTACATTTTTTATCCGCCTCTAACAGACTACATTTGCATGTTTTAGCTCATAATAATCTTTTTATATATACCAGGTCTTTTTGCAGCTCCTCACTGATGCTCTATTCGCATCAATTCAGTTCAGCTCATCTGCTTTTCAGCCAGCTTTCTTCTGATTGGCTGTACCTTGCATGCCATACACAGGGTTAGAACAGTAGGTGGTGCTGCTGTAATAAAAAAAAAGAAAAAAAGAAAAAGAAAACAGAGCAAGGAGCAAGAGCATTTAGCTCAGATGAAGCCTGAGTTTTGTGGCTCACAAGGATTGCTTGTACCTCATTATTTTAAACCTTGCTTAGCATTTCATCTTCCATTGTATATATTACAGAAAATAAGTTCAAACATTACAGGTCTCCCCTTTGAAAGGGTGTTTGCACAATTCACCTCTGTGTAGTGTTGCTCTAATTTAATACGTATTTAGTTTTAAACTGAAATTTATTTTTGAAATATTGACCAGTGTCTGCAAAAATAAAATAAAAAATTAGCAGAATGAATAAAGCAAGAGGAATGTTTGTGTAAAGCTGCCACCTTGTGGATAATGGAGCTGTGTTTGAAAGGACCACAGGCAGGTCTTTGTGGTTTGTAACGGACATGAGATGTTTCCTCTTCCAGCTAACAACAACCTAAATCTTCATCGGGCGGCTATTATACTATTAACCAGCTGTTATAATAACCAAACAGTCGGGTTCCTCCCCCATCGTCCTTCCACACCTCTGTCACACCTTTGCTCTCTGGATACAGGAGTGGATGAGTGGAGATGCACAGGGTGATGTCCATGAAGACACCCGTCACAGAACAGGCACAAAAAAAGAAATGGCTCTTAAGATAATGTTGATAATGCTTCCATTGAGTCAAGTGTCAAAACCACCTGCTTTTCAGCTGACTACATAAGCGGCTCTTTTTCTGCCACATTTTTCAGTGATAGTGTTAATGGGTTATGAATCATTTACTAGTGCTTTATGAACCATTATAAGAACATCTGGGTTGTCAGGTTGTGAAAAATAACATTTTTCTTTTTTAATCTTCAGTGTTCAGAAAGAGCTGATCTTAACTTCTAAGGAGCTTGTGAAGAAAGCAACTGGACTTCTTTAAATTACTTTTAGATGTTTCACTTCTTATCCAAGCATTCAAGAGGCTTCTTGGTGCACTGCAATCCATTTACAACAATTTTTATAATAATGACTTAACATGGAGAACCCTCTTGGATGAGAGGTGAAATTTCCTCAAGAATTCAGTCCAAGCTCCTTAGACTACAATGAACTGGATGGCTGAGAAGCTACACAGACAAACTGATCTTACCTTCTGCACAAACGCTACAGTGCATCTGCAGCACCACAATGCATTTACAACAATTTATTGTAATAATGACTTAACATTTATGTGCACTTAAAGGCTTATTAAAGAGAATGAACTCTTTGCCATTTATTGATGGGCTTCCATACTGCCTCACTGCATTTTATCATCTCAACATGAATCAATTAAATATCTTAGTGGGTGCTTTATAAGAAATTCAATGGCATGTGGAAATGTAGGCTTTATATCACAGGGCTGACACAATGAAACCATATTCCTTAATGATTTGGTTGAATTAATATAGATTTATAGTCTAATTATTGGATAAAATGTAATATTTCATCAATTGAAAAATGAAAACTAGCACTTAGTTTGTAGCACAAAATAACACTGATTTTCCTTTTTCCTGTTAAAAAAATTTCAGGCAAGGAAGCTTAAAAGAAAATTAAAAGAAAACCTAAAAGAAAATTCCACAATGTTAAAAACAAATAAAAACAAAAGAAACCTCTAGAATTTTTAAACAACCCGTTGATATTTCATCTTTCGATATATTTTTTTTACCTGCACTTCAATGTTACACTATAATAAACCACCCATCCATCATTCCAACCACACAAAATGTACATGAACTAAGATTGCCTCAGAATGTTACCACAAACTCATCAATCCATTATTTATCTCCATGTCAGGGGTGAATTTGCACCTGTATTAAAAGCTAAAGATCGTACAAAATGTACAAATTAAGGTACAGTTTAATAATGCAGCCTAATAATTTGCATGCATATAAACAACTGCAGATTTATTTAAATATTTAGTAAGTCTTGGTCATTTTAAACTCGCGATTACAAACCCTTTAGCTTCAGGAGGGAGGTTGAACGTCTGGTGACCTGGTGCAGCCACAACAACCTGGTGCTGAATGCCCAGAAGACAGTGGAGATTATTGTGGACTTCAGGAAGCTCACAGCCCCACTCCCCCCCATCATCCTGACTGACACCCCCATCACCTCTGTGGACTCATTCCGCTTCCTGGGTACCACCATCACCCAGGACCTGAAGTGGGAGCCCACCATCACCTCCGTCATCAAGAAAGCCCAGCAGAGGATGTACTTCCTGAGGCAGCTGAAGAAATTCAACCTGCCAACACGGACGATGATGCAGTTCTACACTGCAATCATCGAGTCCATCCTCACCTCCTCCATCACCGTGTGGTACGCTGGAGCCACTATCAGGGACAAACAGAGACTGCAGCGTGTTGTGCGCTCTGCTGAGAAGGTGATTGGCTGCAAACTCCCATCTCTGCAGGACCTGTACACCTCCAGGACACTGCGGCGTGCAGCCCGGATCTCAGCTGACCCTTCTCACCCTGGACACAGTCTGTTTGACCTGCTCCCCTCAGGCAGGAGGCTCCGGTCCATTCGCACCAGAACCTCTCGCCATAAGAACAGTTTCTTCCCCTCTGCTGTTGGACACATGAACAATAACCACATGACTGTCCCCGCCACTAACACATGACCCTACGCTGTGTCACTGCATCATTTCATGTTTGGCACTGATCACCACCTGCACTCATGTATATATCTTTCTACGTAGCACTCATAATTCTTATTCTCATGTATATATCTCATGTATATCTCATGCACATATCTTTCTTTCTACATAGCACTTTAATTCTTATTGTTTGCACTGAAGCACCGCAGCAATTTCCTAATGTTGTAAACCTCAACATCTGGCAATAAACCCCATTCTGATTCTGATTCTGATTCTGATTCTATGTGCGCCTGTGTTACTGGTATAAATAAAATAAAATAATAAACTTAACACATATTAATATTAATATTTAAAGAGTCTGGTCCATCCAGCCTGAGCCCAGTGTTGCCTTTTTTAATGTCACATTATTGGTTATGTGCAAAAATAGCCTTTGGACCCCACGTTTGCTCTTTGCCCTTTATTTTCTGGACCTCTGCATCCTGCGCTCTGATTGGCTGACGAACCTGCCAATCGTGGTGTCCTTGCTGCCCACTTCCGCCTACTTCCAGAGGCACCACAGTGCTCGGTTGTTTATTTTACCGGAGCATTAATTTTACCTGAACTCACAGGTATATGTGACTGAGCTGTGTTTAAATGTCCGTGCCAGTGTCGGCTGTGGTTTGTTGTTGACTGTGTTGATGTTGTTACATCGTTTTTTGCCCAGCGGACATTTACACCATCTGCAGCAGCGATGCTAAGGGCTCGTTAGCTAGTCTTAAAGCTAACTAATGGCTTTTTTAGAGGAGCACGGCGACTGACAGCCAGAGAGGAAGCTGTTTTTGTTTTGATTACATTACTCATGCGCTTGGTGTTGACGCTGCCGGTGTCGTTGTAGGTGGTGGGTGCTGCTGTCTGTGATGCTCGGAGGGAGGCTGGACTCCAGGGACAGGCCAACGGTGGAAACATGACTTCTGAGTAACCTGCAGCTACTTTGTCTGCTCAGTATGAACAGCGAGGAGGAGTTTTTCGACGCTGAGACAGGTGAGACATGTCGACGAAGGCCCAAATTAGTTAATTATATATAGTTATTTCCTGTATACTTACTTTGTTTCCTCCTCCTACTCCCGCTCTTGCTCATCATCCCCAGGGTTGGAGTCAGATGATTCCTGCGAGGTCAGCTTTAAAGATGCCACACAGGAGAATGGCGTGTGGGAGCGCAGGTGAGGGGCCGTGCACACGCGGGGAATAATTACGGAAAAACATAATCACTTCATTGACGCAGAGCTGTTCTGAGTGATCGCCTCGATCCTCTGAAAGGTTAAAGCAGGAGTGATGGAGAGATTGATAAAGGAGTCTCCCTGATGCTATGATGTTTGCAGATGATATTGTGATCTGTAGTGAGGGTGGGAGCAGGTGGAAAAGAACCTGGAGAGGTGGAGGTATGCTTTAGAGAAAAGAGTAGTGAAATTTAGTGAGGCTGCAAGGAGCAAACGGAGTGAAGGTGCACAAGTACCTGGGGTCAACCATTTAAAGCAATAGACAGTGCATAAGAGAGGTGAAAAGGAGTTTGTAGGTAGTTAGGAGAGGAGACAAGTGTTGGGGTGATTTATGACAGAAGGATAGCAGCAAGAGTGAAAGGGTTGGTGTGTGAGAGGAGGGTGCTAGAGATAGAGTAAGATGGAGACAGATGATCTATCATGAGTTCTGAACTTAGAGATGTGTGGTGAAGAGTGTCTC